TAATCTCTGTTTGTGAATTCTGTTTGTTTGTTTGTCCGATCATAACTCAGGAACCCCTGGACCGATTTGTCCCCAAATTTTGATTGGGGAACTCCGGAGACCCACAGAAATGTTCTTAGCTTGATTAAGATTTTAAGTTGAGTGGGTCGACTTTTATCGGGAAAAATAGCTAAATTCGTAATTTACTACAAGGGGCGGGTAATCGGTGGGACCAAGAATTACATACATAGTTCCTTGGGTGGGACCAACACGTTCCTGGGCATTGCTGGGTTCCCAAGCTAGTATTTTAATATAATATTAATTAGAATAAAAGTTTGTGAAAATGGAGGAGGGTGGTTCAAATAAATTCCAAAACTGGATTTATCTTAATCTCTGTTTGTGTATGTCTGTTTGTCCGATCATAACTTAGCAACCCCTGGACCGATTTTAATCGAAATTTTAATTGGGGAGCTCCGGAGACGCACAGAAATGTTGATAAACCTTTCTAGAGGAATTTTTTCATGTATTTTTATCTCTTCGGAAGGACTAGACTATGAAAGTGACTAAATTCTAAAAAAATGTTTTCACATTTTATTTAAGATTTTTTCTGTCTCGTGTGCAATGAACAAAAGAAAATAAAAAATATTCATTAAAAGTCTTAATAAACATTTCCGTTGCTTGTTTACAGTACAAAGAAAATAATTGGTTCTCATTGTTTTATCAATATCATCATTATTGTCATTATTATTCGGTTTGTCCATATATTCTTCTTTAATCAATTGTCTTTGCCTTCTGTGTAATCAAACCACTTCAAACTAAAGTGAAAATTGCAGGTCAGATTGAAATCTTATGGTTTTGCAATCATAACTCCTATTATTAAAAAACTATCGAGAAGAATAAAAATGTTTAGAATTTCTAGTATTTTCTCATAATTGTGAATAAAATTAAAACTGTAGGACCTACGAGGTCACAAAGTCTCCTTCTGGTAGCTCCTGTAGAAGGGATAAATTTATCTAAACTTTAACAAATTGTTCAAAATGAGGGATAAAACTCTAACTTAGAACTTACTATTTGGTTATTCATATATCTTTACATCCTGGGAGTGTAAACCTTTGATATTCCTATATCTTTACATCCTGGGAGTGTAAACCTTTGATATTCCTATATCTTTACATCCTGGGAGTGAAAACCTTTGATATTCCTAAATCTTTACATCTTGGGGGTGTAAACCTTTGATATTCCTATATCTTTACGTCCTAGGAGTGTAAACCTTTGATATTCCTATATCTTTAAACAACTGGCAGTGTAAACCTTTGATATTCCTATATCTTTACATCCTGGGAGTGTAAACCTTTGATATTCCGAAATCTTTACATCTCGGGGGTGTAAACCTTTGATATTTCAAACTTAGGGTATTTGATCCAACATCATTAAAAAACTATCCAACTATCCAACTATCCAACTATTCAACCATCCAACCATCCAACTATCCAACTATCCAACTATAAAACTATCCAAGTATCTAACTATCCTACAATCTCACTATCCATCTCTCTATGGTATCTATCTATCCATCTCTCTATGGTATCTATCTGTGACAGTAAATTCTAAATGTAGAATTTAATTGAACAGAGTTAGACAATAAAGGATTTCAAGAGCGCCTTCAACTTAGATATTTATACTTTCATACAACTCCTTTCTTTTTAGCATCACTCTTCCTTTCTTTCCGTCCTTTCAACCCTTATCTTCCTCCCTTTCCATCCTTTTAACTCTTATCCTTTCTTTTTAGCATCACTCTACCTTTCTTTCCATCCTTTCAACCCTTATCTTCCTCCCTTTCCATCCTTTTATCTCTTATCCTTTCTTTTAAGCATCACTCTTCCTTTCTTTCCGTCCTTTCAACCCTTATCTTCCTCCCTTTCCATCCTTTTAACTCTTATCCTTTCTTTTTAGCATCACTCTTCCTTTCTTTCCATCCTTTTAACTCTTATCCTTTTGTTTTAGCATCACTCTTCCTTTCTTTCCATTCTTTCAACCCTTATCTTCCTTCCTTAATATCCTTTTAACCCTTATCCTTTCCTTCTATCCTTTCAACCCTCATTCTCCTTCCTTTCTATCCTTTTAACCCTTTTCTTCATTCCTTTCATCTTACAAGTGGAAAAATTCCTTCCCTTGATTCAGGAGTAAATTGGGAAAATTGTTAAAAAGCAGAATTTCAAGTGTGAGTAAACTGGTTTTAAAACCACGAGAAGTTTTTTGCAAACCGGTTATATTTGCACTTGTATTTATTGCGTTGCAAATTGTGCTGTTGCAAAGTTTATACCATAAATTGTAATGTACATACTGTGCAATTCCAAAAATAAGGCATATTCAAGCCTGAGAAAAAAAAAAAATTTTACCAAGGAAAACGATTTATCAAACAATGACCATGAAAGAACTTCAGACAGTTTTCATAAAAAAACATATTTATAGATTTTTTGTTTATTTTTTATACTTAGGGATGAATTTAGCTTTTCTGTCTGTATATTAATTTGTAACCAATAAAAGTCAAAACTGCCGAATGTTTGTTGTAACTAACGTAAACATTTTAGAGAATTCACTGTAAAAAATAAACATAAAAGTCCTCAACATTTTCATCATTTAGTTTTTTTGTGATTTTGCGCTTAGGGCGCTTCGCGCTCCTTTTCCTTTTAACGATTTTAGATTTAAATGTTACTTTTTTCATCTTTTATCAAGAAACTGAGAACTACGCTGTTCTGTTCATATTGCTGCATAATCATTCCCTGAGGTTAACAGAGTTCCCTCAAAAACTTTGGGTCCGATTGGTTCAGTTTTTAAATACAAACAAACAAACTAAAAACCAAGAACAAGACACTCCAACTGTATTTTTAGATTTAGAAGAACAAAATTAAGATTTATAAATAGTAAGGAGGGGGCGGAATGGCTCTCTAGGAATCTGACTCATATAGAAATTGAGTCAAAATAACAGGTTTTTTTTGTCGTTTAGAGAGATCAAATGTATATATACATATTCTTTGCTTGTCTGGGTTTCTGTTTGTTTTTATCCAATAAACGTCAAAACGGCTCGACCGAACATTCCAAAATTTTGTGTGGACTGTGGGACTTCGAATGACTGCAAAAAAAATAAATCTTCGTAAAATTTTTGAAAATCTACGAAAAAATCTGTGAAATTTTTTTTTATCAAAGAGGAAATGTTGATCGATTGAGCAACAATTAAAAGTTGAAATAAAAGATGAGCGTGAAGGGTCCTGGTAGCCTGGTCTTAACAATTTTTTAACTTCCCGACAAGTGTGACTAGGCAGTTAGCTCAGGTTGAATAACTGCCTGAATCCACGGAATCACTGCATGGAACGGTTTGGTTGTATTTTGCATAATTCCTACGAACATTAACCCCTGCCTGGTTCTATAGCTCTTGACTTTTCATTCTTTATCTTGGTTTTTGTATTATTAGTGCAGAGTGCAGAGAGATTGGGTGTGGTTTGAGTGACGGTTTAACCAAGGAGTAAGAATAGAAGGGAGATACAACTGACGCGGCCTACCCTACCATATGATTATACATGCTTTGCAGACGGTACTTCATTTGAATAAGAAATATTTGTCTGATGTACAATTACCGCGTATTCAATAACCTATTCTGAATATTTCTTATACAAATGGAGTACCCGTCTGCAAAGCATGTATTTTCATATGGTAGGGCGGCCCGCGTCAGATGTATCTTCCTTCTTTTTCATACTCCTTGGGTTTAACGGATATTTTTCTATTAATTTGCACCGCCGGCACTTGAAGCAAATCTTTTTAATGAGACAGGAGATATTTGTCCATAAATACTGCATTTGGTAATTGACACGGTATGATTTACAAACTGCACAGTTTTGAAAATCTATCACCAACTCTTGAGAATTCTACATACATGACCTTTTACGACACTGAATACATATTATGCTATAACCCTAGTCATGGAATATCATAACTTTTATTTTCGACCCAGATTGATTTATTTTATTATTTTTATCATTTATTTATTTTTGACATTCAAAATGCCTTTTTGTTAACTTTAAGAACTTTCAGAAATTTCAGAGTCTTCATTTTAAAAAGTTAGTTTTTATTTCAATACGATCAATTGACAATTTAGGAACACGGAATTAAATCATCTTGATCTTAAGTATTAGTAAGTTAGAAAAAAAATTTCATACATTTTGTTTCAACCAGCAAAAAAACACCTTTTTGACATTTGAATTTTTTGGAGGTTTGAACTTCTGAGATAAAGATTTTTAATTTAAAAAAAAAAAAAATTTCAAAATTGAAATGTACCTCGAATGTAGATTGAAAATATTGGGTTTAAAATAAGAAAACCAAAAAAATTATGACCAAATGCGTGATATATTCTAAAAAATTCGCTCAAAAAAGCGGTAATAAAAAAATGTTCTGCTCTTTGGATACGAAACTTTAATCAATACACATCAATCAATACATCTCTTTAGAAATACTCAATATGGGAAATTTTGAGCATAATATTATTAACACGTATTGAAGTATTAAAATCTTGCTAAATGCCGATAAAAAAACTTAAAATGAAGCAAAAAGGTATATTCTTAAAAATCAAGGTTTTATTATTTTTTAGATTATTCATAGTTAGTTTTAAAAACTAAAAATTTGCTTTCAAAAGGTACAAATCTTAATGCATCGTGATGATAATAAAACGCACTGCCCCCCCCCCACGTCACATTAAATTGCGCCTAGGCCTGATGATCTAAGCACTTCTATGCACTGAACCTAGCGAAAGTTCAATAAACCATACATCTCAACCAGTGAGGGGGTAGTAGAGGGAGATGGAGAGGGGGAAGAAGGGTGGTAGGGGGGGGATTCAAAAACCCATATTTAATTTTTAAAAATCTAACTTTAGTTTTCTAAAACAGATTTTTTATAAAAAAAAATACTAAAAAACATCTATTCCAACAAAAAATATGATTTTGATAATTTTTAAATTTGTTATTTCTCACCTTGTGAAGTTGGCGGAAGAAAAAGTAGAAGAACTCCAAGAATAAGATTTAACCCTCTGCAGCAGTTTATACTTCTAGAATCTAGCAGCTTAAACAAAGCTTTTCTTTTTCTCACATTATTGGGTGGTGCCCAATGTTCCCCCCCTGGAGGGGTTCCCTCCCCCCCTCCTCCCTTCCACCGCGGCATTTTCACGCACACTCATCACATAACTTTATCATTTTACACATGTTAATTATATAAATATATATGTTATGCCAGTAAATACAGCTGTAGACTGTACTAGAGATACTAGAGTACTGGCACTCTCAGCCACCCTCCACCAACCATTCAGGGTTTCATTTTAGAATAAATCCAGGGGGGGAAGGGGGGATATTACAGATCTAGAAATGGGGTTGGAATAATACCATTTATTTATGTTTCAATGACCCAAGCCTCCCCTTTTTGGTATAAACTATAAACCCTGTTGGTTTTGAAGTATATATATATATATGTTTATATCTATCTAAGTCTATGAAACCCAAATATCTCTCACCCAACCTCATCCTGCTCATACCACCCTTTCGTCTCCGTTATATGGACTTCCTGTTCTACACTCATCACCCTGTAGAATAGTTCGTACAGGGTGTCCCACTTAAAATTTGCACATTAAAAGATAACTTTAATCTATCGATCTTTTTATAATTTGTCAGAGTCACAAAACTTTTTTTTTGGCACACACTATTTCATTCGAGAGCGATCCAAGATCTTAGACATTCTTTATTTTCCTTTTTCATATTTTCATGATTAGTGGAACACCCAGTATGTACAATGTACATATCTATATAATAATGTATCAATACAGGGTGGCCCAAAAACAGGGATTCCAACAATAGAAAATTACTAAATTGGTAATTTTCCAATAGCCAAGCGCTCGAATATTTTCTTGAAGCATGAAATTTTTTTATTTATTTTTTATATTGAGTTGCCAAAGATAATATATGTATTATGTTTGTGAGTTCCTGAGGTCAGCAAAGAGATTTTCAAATATTCGACATAATTTTACGCCAAAAAGGGGAGCTTTAGAGTGTATTGTCAAAAATCGATTTAGCGGATTTTTCAAATTTTCGATAATGAGATGTGAAAATTCGAACATTTGAAAAATCCGGGAAGTTTATTTTCAACTTTTACACGCCAAGAAGTGGCTGTAACAAAAAAGTATGAGATCTAGAAGGAGAAATTTACAACATGAAATATAGAGCTTTAGAATGACGCCTTAATTGTAAAACTTAACGGAAATGATTCCCTCAGTACTCAATACTGCAAAGTTTTTTTTGGGAACACCCTGTAAAAAATTCTATAATGTGATATCTAAAGATGTGTCTTCGCCCTAGAATCTCCCCTCTACCTACATTTACAGCTAATAACTTTTTCTTATTGAATTAATCACAGCATTTTTATAAGCATATTAACAATTTTTAATTCTTAGTACTTTTTTATAATCCGATTGCATTGCATAATCATATGTATCATCAGATATTGATTTTCTCTACCTCGCCAGTATGTATCTTAAATATATAGTTTTCTATCTTTACGTTGGTTAAATAGCTTCAAGGCGACAAAGTTTAACTAATGTAACGCCATACCAACGTAGAACCTTCAATGTACTTCGTTAGTACAATCGTTGTACTCTCCATACAGTGTACATTGACTTTATATCAATGTTTCATGAAAACTGTAAAGTGTTTGCGCAAACTGATTTCTACACAAATTGCCCAAATTACATGAAAACAGTTCTTATATCAAAAATTTCTATTCAATCCGCATACCCTCTTATCGTCAATGACTTATTATATGCTTTTAATGTTCTACTACTTCACTGGTGTACTCTCTAATTTATATGTTTTGCAGGATCCAAGTATCCTTGATTGGAAATTTTTAATTTACGAAATGTATGTATTTAATCCTTATACAAATCTCTCAAAAATGTTAACGAATTTGTCGTTATTATTGAATACATGTAAACTATTTTGTATTTATTTCACAAATCTCTCAAAAAGAAAATGTGAACGAATTTGTCGTTAAGCTTTATTAATGAACACATGTAAACTATGTTGTACAATTTAAATAATAAGACAATAAATATTTAGATCTTAAAAAATATTTTCTCTTAACGTTATATTTGCAGTTTACTGCTTTTCTAAAATTGATGTAAAAGAGATGGAATTGTAAGAATCTATATTCAATATTTTTATACTTGGACAAAATTAACACAAAAGGGATGAGTATTTGTCACAATTCAATACTTGTTTGAAAGCAAAGGAATGAAATCTTTGCCACAAACTGAATTGTGCTAATTATTCCTATATCTTTATATATTTCATCAGTAACAGAATCCATAATTTTAAATATCTTAGGTCTAAGAAATTATGTTGCAAAGGTACAGAGATTAGAAAATCAGAATTCGCGTCAAAGACTCAATTACTATTTTCTATAGAATTATGAACAAAGATTCATTTAACTAAAGCACCTCAATACAGATTCAAGTGAGGGGTGTACAAGAGGGGGGGGCGCCCCCCCCCTACGCGTGCCCCATATAAAAAATACTTTAATATCTCACTTTTGTCCTTGACTAAAAAAGTATCATTAAAAAAGCTTTAATCAATTCTGCCTTCAGGGTAAATATATATTTGATATCATTATTTATAAATATACAATATGTATCGTTGCTATGAAAATATAGATATTTTTCACCCATTGAAGCTTACACCACAGTAATTAAGAGGAAGTGTCTGATGAGTCCACTTGAAAAAAATTACATAAATATTTTATTAACACTTGTAAGTGTGTATATGATCGAATAGTTTACATAGTTAAAAAGGTATCAATATTTTTCTTCAAAAAAAGGATTTTTAAGGGAGGGCACAGTGCTGCCAAGGGGGGCACACATACCGCGCTTAAAAAGTTCCCCTCCCTACACAAATGCTTTCAAGATGTTTCATAATTTAATTCTTCATGAAATTCTAAAAATGTCTTCAAGGCTGTCCTTTACTTCTCATGTAGCCTGCAAAAGTCCTTGTTCTATCCTAAGCAACTTCTTAGGTCCTCAGTTTGCTGTACCCTCAAATGTCAAGTTTTGTAATACCCTTAAAATATATATATAGTTTTTTTTGACAGAGGATAAATAAATTGTTTCTGACTTTCTTCAAATTGAAAAGGAGAAAACAGTAAGAATTTCTATTATAAATGATGCGCGAAGCGCCAAAGAAAAGTTTTTTTTCCATCTTAATATTGATATTCGCCATTCTTTTTTTCCATTCTTCAGGGGGGGACGCCGGCGCCACCCCTCCTTCTAAGTTGATAGGGGAGGGCGGCCCTAGCAACTTATTTCAGAAATTTAGAATTTTCATTTAAGGAACAAGGTTATCAAAAAAAGAACAATGAACATTATAGGTTTAATAACAGGATCAATACAATAACACAAATGTTGGATTAATAAGGAACAAAAAAGGAAGAACTAGATTAGGAACATCAAATGATACGAACAAGGAAAAATAAATGAAATACATAATCTAAGGAACTAAAATAAAGATTGTTAAGAAATTAGGAATACAAATTAATGGTTTAAGACAGGGATTTATGGTCTAGGGACACAGTGTTAGGAATAGGAACAAAAATATGAACATTAAGCAAGTTACAAGTTAAGAACAAAAATGAAAGAAATAGGAATTAGGAACAAAAATTAAAAGAACTAGGAATTAAGAACAAAAATGAAATAACTAGGAGTTAGTGAATTTTGATGGAGACAATTATTTGAAATTTTGATTTTTCATAAACCTTCCCTGGGGTCCCTAGATGTCACACACAAAAAATTTGGGCCCGATCGGTTCAGCCGTTTTGACGTTTATTGGATACAAACAAACAGACAGACAGACAAGCCAAATTTATATATAGAAGAAACAAAATATGCAAACATAAATATGCGCATTGTGCAAAAAACGTGGTTCATACTGTACATGGAACAATAGTCAATAATAGGAACATAAAGCAAGTTAAGAAAACAAAGCAATTACTAGGAAAGTTGTATGCATGTAAATTAGGAACAATATTGCAATTTTGATAAAGGAGTAATGGCTGGAACATTAGCATGAATATGCAAGTTAGATAGGAACATTTATAATAAAGGTCTTCCCCAGGCCCGTATCCAGGGAGGGGTGTAATGGGTAAGGTGCACCCCCTTTTAAAATGGAGGCGAAACTGCGAGTTTTCACCCCCCCCGGGCCCCCCTTTTAAATAAGTTAATCGGTATAATCTTTCCTTGAAAGGTGTTATCATTTTGTATAGTACGTATATAGGGTCCGAAACAATTGTTTAATAAAGCCGTTCCCTCAAACCATCCAAATAAAACCTTTTTTGTCTGTAATACTATGAAAATAATTTTGTACAATTTTAACCTAACCCTAAATAAATACTAATTTAATTGAAAATTATTGAAAAAGTGGTCATGTACAAGATTGATTGGAGGGGGGGGGGGGTCCAAAAGTCGTTCTCTAGGACAGACCCTTTTTTTCTTCAAGCTTTTTTTTATCAAGCAAGATATTAATATTAAGATTACCGGAATTTTAATAAATTTCATTATTGAAATGGAGATTCAAATAACCAAATGTTTTTTATGTATTGATAGAGGGGTAAAAAATTGGTGGGGCCGGGGGTATACATTTAATTTTTATTAAAGAAAAAATATTTTGTTTAAGCTGTATTAAGTGAAAGATGGAGGTTTGTCGAGACATACTCTGGGACCCAGCTGTCTCATGGAATACGACCAACCCAAATCTGTCGTCTTGCTTACAGGTATTTCTTCCCTTTTTCCCCTCTTTTTTCTTTTTTCTTTCTTTTTTTTCTGAAGGGGGGGGAGGAAAAAACAAAACAGCTGANCACAAGCTGTCGTCAGAGTTGGGTGGAAGATTGGGCCTTAAAGTCGGGATCAAGGAATTACGACTCGAGCAGAAGTTTTTAAATTGGGGGCTCTGAGAAATGGAGTTTCCACCTGTAACCTCATTGACTGCTTTGTTTTATCTGAACCAAGCCAAATCTTGAAGACTTGAATAATGTGCACTGTGTGTATGGTCATGATGGGGGATGTACAGAGTTTTTATTGATCCAAATCAAAGATTAAGAATCCTATCTTTTTTGTGCTAAATTTCAAATTTCAAGTTTTCAGTATTATATTAAAATAAAAAATAAAAAATTCGGGAAACTTTTTTAAAGAATGGAATCAAAATCCAGGTTTAGTATAGGATCAAGAATCGTGGTATTTGGTAATAAAATGATGAAATAATCATTACATTTGTTGTACTAGGATGTGCTGGTGTCAAGTGCAAGCTTTCTGTACATATTTCTCTCCCCAGCTTGGTTATGTACACTGTACAGCAGGCCTACAGGTCTACTCGCTGCCCCTAGAGGTGGACGCTTTGGAACCATCTTGGTTTCTTTGAGGTAATTATTTGGGAGATTTATAGGATCCTTAAAAATATTTTTGGAGTGAAATTTTAATGGGGGCTTAATAAAGATTTGTGGAGCCCGTTTTAAATCTTCTGCAGGGTTTTAGGTTTTGATTTGGGGGTTTTCTTTTTCTTTCTTGATCATAATATAGAAGCATACTTGGAAAATGTTTTGGGAGCCTCAGTGGCCGGTTTCTTCTTAATATTTTTGGCGATTTTTTGGGGGGTTTTATTAAAGGTTTTAATGATAATAATTTTTTTGTGCGGGGGGGGGGGTGTTCTTCTAGGTCTAGTATAGAATGATGGCTTTCGTTTTTTCTTCAGTTAAGTATCGTTGGGAGCTAGAACTAAAATGAATCTGGATTAGAAAACCTTTGTTATTAACGTTATTTTTTTCTCGGACATTTTTGGGGTATTAAGAGAAAATTTCTTATAGATTAGATTTTTTTCATGTTTTTTTCAGACTTCTCTGTTTCCTCATCTGCTTTATTGCATCCATCTGCATTCCAGTTCTACAGAGGTTCACTTAAATATTTTTATTAAAAAATTCTGGAATAAAACAACGACTTGACTAGTTCTTAAAATAGATCAATGAGCATGCAAAACTATTTGCTTAATAATAACATCAAAAACACTTAATTATTTAATTCAATTAAAAAGCTTAAATAAATTTAACTTTCAATACCATATTTTACTAGAATTAAGACTGTAACACCCCAGGGTTTATATTTTTCAGAATAACCTACCTTAGGCCCAGGGGGGGAAGGATTTTCGATGATTGGGGGGAAAAATGTAAAATTGGACATCAAAAACCATTCTTTTCATTCTTATTGATACAAAGCATTCTTTTCATTCTTATGGATACAAAGCATTCTTTTCATTTTTATTGATACAAAGCATTCTTTTCATTCTTGATACAAACCTGAAACATCAGACAGAAACATAGATTAGCAAAATTCTGAACCAATGAATAGAAAAGAAGAATGTACAGACTATTTCTAATACAAATTATTTTGAATATATCAAAAATAAATTTTGGGCTTCTGTTTCCTGCTTGGGGTTTTCAGGGTCTTGGGATCAAAATCCCCCCCCCCCACCCCTTGGGGGAGGGTCCCGGGCCTATAAGAATCACAAAGTGGGAAAAATTGGAGTTCTGTAATACTATGAAAATAATTTTGTACAATTTTATAATTATCTTTTTAAAATAAAAAAAATAAAAAAATTATTAAGTACGTTAGTGAATCGGATTGGATTAGATACTACTGGACATTTTTCAAACAAGGGTGGCATGAGAAGTGCATTCTTCATTTTGTCCAAATATTAGATAAACGTTTTTTATTGTTTCCAGTGGGTTGTGTATCATGGATCTTGTAAGTTCTTCTTCTTTAGCCGCTGCTGTCTTTATATCAGTAGTTGCAGGTAATAATAAAGACTACATTATTTTCAATATTTTGATTATTGTTGCTGCTACTCGAAAAGAAACCGTTCAGAGCCAGCGATTTAAAAAATTCGGGAAAATACGGCTCAGGTCTTAGCTGTCGTTGGACCTTATATATGACTTGAGCTTTCGCATGCAAGCTGCATCTTATTTTCTACAAAGTTGAGTTAAAAAACCGGTTTCATATTCTATTTGGCGGAATTTCATGCTAGGAACTGGCGCATTCCGGGTTTTATGAGCCTTATTCTCCACTAATACGAACTAAGGTCGGTTTTATTTTCATTTGGCCTAACTCCTAAAGTCGAGTCGAAGACCTTGCAACTAAAAATCACGTGACACAAGCTGTCGTCAGAGTTGGGTGGAAGATTGGGCCTTAAAGTCGGGATCAAGGAATTACGACTCGAGCAGAAGTTTTTAAATTGGGGGCTCTGAGAAATGGAGTTTCCATAAAGTAACAAAAGCTAACGTGCAGAGTAGGATGTCTAAATAAATATAGGAACTGAATTTCTTAACAAAGACGATCTCGAGGTTGTCACCCAATTCCCATGTTTATTGGGACACCCTGTAGGATGTCCAAGAATATTTCATATACTGCAGTGTACACTACAATGTACAGAACATGTTCATTGATTTAGAATGTTTAATGGTTCGACGGCTTCAGCACACCTCCGTTGTACAAACTTCATTCTGTGTTCTTCTAACTATTCTGCTATTGCCAGGAACACTTACTGTATATTCATCCTTCATCCATCCTTAATTCCTCCTTCATCCATCCTTAGTTCATTCTTTATTCATCCTTCATTCATATTTTATGAATCCTTGATTCATCCCTCATTATTTTTTCATCTATACTTCATTCATCCTTATTTCATCCTTCAAGGCCATCCTTCATCCATCCTTCATTCATCCATTTCATTTTCATTTTCATTTTTATTTTTCATTCATTCATCCTATCATTTATTCTTTCACTCAAAGTCTTTATCTAATTTAATTCTAACTATTGAAGATAAACTAGCAACGTCAATTTCGAACATTTTATTTTAATACTTATATATTCTTTAATCTTATTTTGCTTTTACTTCTATTATCAAATAGGATTTTAAAACATTATCCTGTCTTTTCTTAAAGTTGTTTTTTGTCTTTTTAGTATTACTTTTATTTTCAACTTAACTTTTTCATCCAAAATTTGTTATGAATACGTTTGTGTGGTATAAAGGATTAAAGCTAAGTATTGAGGATCTGCTGTGGAGCACAGACGACAATTTTTCTCTTCAACTCCTAAATATTGTCAGGAATGGTTCTTTTTTATCTTTTCAAACGATCCAATTATAAAAGCTTGAAACTCCAGCGTAGACGTTTTATTTCAAGTGGCTATCCATTTATAGAATGGCATAATCTGATCCACAATGGTAACCTAATTGCCTAGACGAGAATACATGAAGTATCAATCATTTTGTTTTGAAAATTTATTATTTTTAATTATGGTTTCTCTCTACATGCTTCAGAAACATGGGAGGAACTTGTTGGAATCACACGCTTTTTCAAGCAAGGAAAACGTCGATAACTTTAACATTTACTGATCAGATAAGGGTTTAAAACGAATGTTTGCTGAACAATTATCTTAAAATTCCGGGGCTTTTTCAAAGAAATTTAGCCGCTGTTTAGTTAAAAATGGTTTAGTAATAAGGAGAAAATTTTTAAAAGAATGTCTTATTCTTTTTTTTTGAAAGAAATGTTGCCGAAGATCTGATATAACTGATAAATGTCTGAACTTGTAAACAATAAACACGTAGAAATAACTGAAAAAATTGTATCCACTGAATTTGTATAACATGATAATTGTACCGTGATAGATGGGTATTTGTACTGGTTTGTACGGTACTGCAAGGATTTTCTAATACCTCTCTTCTACCGCTGGATACAACGCCAGAAGTTGCCGCATCTGCACTATCGTCGTTTTTCTTCAGGTTTGCCCTTTTTTTTGGGGGGGGGGGAGTAACTTCAAGTCATTGAAACATGCCATAAACCCCTAAAAAAGTAATCTAATCTTCTATAATCGATTTAAAACAACTTTATTATATTAGCGAACAAATTGTAATTATATTATCAAAAAAAATAACGGAAATTAAACATAATTGTCAAAATAAAGATAATAATAATAATAATATTGTTTTTGTTAAACTTAAAGTTGGTTTACTGGACTGATTTGGAAAGGATGGAAGAAGCCTCTGGTTCAAGACGACATTCCAGATCTCCATCCTACGGTAAATTCTCAATCATTCTTCCGTTCCCTTGTTCAAGACGAATGCCGTCTAAAACGACATTCCAGACTTCCATCCAACTGAATTTTCAATCATTCTTCTTTGCCATTGTTCAAGACGACATTTATGACCTCCATTTGATTTCTACGACCTTGATTTCTATGGAAGCGTACCTAAAATAACCCTAATTTCTTTTGATCTTACTAATTGCGAATTAATCTATTTGTTGTACATGATAGTCCATGTACATTAAGTACAGTAGTTTCTCTGAACAGGTTTGTGTACGTGAGAATGCTGAAAAACTACGACTAGTTCAGGAGAATTCTAGGAAACAAGGAACCAAGTTTAATCTAACCAGGTATTTTGATAATTCCGTCATCTCGTGATATATGGGACACTCTGTATATTTCATGCTAACATACAATAGTTTTAAAATCAGGTTATAAAGTGAAAAGGGTCGGTGCACTCTGCACAATTGCGTTGTTTCATGTTCAATGTTCATCGGGATATTTATAATCTTAACAAGAGTTTGACAGTCGTCTTTCTACTCCACAGTTTTGTGGGTCCAACGTAATTTTTTAAGTGTTTCCGTTGAACCCACCTAGAATGTTAGATGGTGTATTTTTCGACCTACGCAAATCCGCTATACTCTACTTCTGACCTACGCCGAATCCGCTATACTACACATCCGACCTATTAGCACTTTTACAGCTGCTACATGGACTTGTGGCCGCAGCGCCCGGCTCTCTAGCCAGTCCTAGCCGCAGCGCTCGGCCCAGAAATATTCTTTTTTTCAATAGAGATTTTTTTGTCCCCAGGACATGATCGGGTTGTTACGATCAAATCTCGGAATTTTTTCTATTGCGAAAGTTTGGTGTTTTCTGGGTTTTTATATTGATCTACCAGGGGTTGTAATCTGGCAGCACATTCATCCATCCACGCTTCATTCATTCTGAGAAGAGGGTTGACAAGATTCCAGCTGCCTAAGATTCTTCTTAGGCCTGAGAATATAGAGTGCAGGAATCCTTCTGATATACTGGAATGAGGCCCGGGTGCCGTACTGATAGGAAACATCACACTCATTGCTCCCTAACATCTGTAAGCCCGGATTGGATACCCCCAGGTACCTATAGCTGGCAACCATAGACTCTCCCTGCTTGTCCACCATTCCTCTCTTCATCGTCATTCACTTGGATCAATCCCGCTTGAAGCTTCTTTCTTGTTGAGCAGAAAGCACGCACCCTTTCGCTGCGAGAGTTGTTGACAGCCGCCCCTCTGTCCTCCTACATCCGTCAGGTGGTCATAACTGCTGAACCAGATGTCGGCTTCAGATGTTTTTGAAACCACAGGTTTGTGTGGAGTACGGGAATCGAACCCGTGAACACCAGCCTGGACACCAATCCAGTTACTGGCTGTGGACAAGTGTGCTTAACTTCAGTGATCTAACGAGGACTGGTGTCACACACTCTCCACCCCACCAGAAATATTCTTAATCTAACCTAACCCTCAAACAGTACAAAAATAAACAACTGGCGTAGGTCCGATATTGCAGTAGGTCGGAAAGTTAGGTCACAAGTTCAGTAGGGGGGATGTTGCGTATAGACAATGTAACATTATCGAATATTAGAATATAATTAAAATCTAAAAAAATGTCTGTTACATTGTACAATGCACACAACAGAAAGCTTTAGTTATTACCAAGATTTTTCTGTAAGAGGTGTCAAAAAAATATCACAACTGAAATGTTTCGTCATGCATAAATTAATAGTTTGTGCATAGTACACACTTTTTTCTTAAAATTTTTTTTCTTTGATCGACTGTGTAAACCGTTTTTCATTTTCATTTTGAAATACTAAATATTTTTTTTCAGAAACTTATTTTTCTGTTTCGCTGGACACTTCCTGATTGGTTTACTCTTGTTCTTCATCAGGGATATACAAAATTCAACATAAAACATACAGAATACAAAATATAAAATACAAAATACAGAAAATCCTCGAACTAACTTGGCAAAAAGCTTGCCTGGGGTAAACCTGTTGGGCAATTTTCTAAACTGACCAATTTTATATAATCTACGTTTCTTTTTTTATTTATAAAATTAAAGATTTTCCAGTCCTTAGGATCCTTAACATTTGACATTCCGGATCCGCAAAAAAATCTGATACGCGGATCCGAACCCAAGGGGTCAAATATCAACTAAATCTTACAAGTTCATCAATGAGAGATAATTAATTAAAACTTCCCAATGACGGACTGGTTTCAACATAAAAATAACTAAGATAAAAAAACACAAACTTGTATTTAAAATAAATGAAAAACAGGTTAAAATGTTATGCAATAGTTGTACAAAGGATTCAGCAATTTTACAGTTTACAAATATAATTATAAATTAACTGGTTTTGATAATATTAATACCAATCCCAATAATACTGAAGTTATCTTAAAGTATTGTATATCCTGTCTAGACTGATATTTGTGTTCAGTACTCCCATGATCCTCAAGCTGACCGTTCAGTTTATATCTGATCAGGTCAACCGCCATCTTATATTAATAAAGGGATTGTTCTTGACACTTAGTGTGAACTTCTTTTTGAAAAGAGACATCTCCGATTCACTTAGGTACCCTTGAAACTTTTATCTGATAATTAATTTTGAAGATAGCATCGTTTTTCTAACGAGAAAAGTGTTAATTCAAACAATTTTGAACTCGACCACAATTAAAAATGATAAATTTTTAAAGAGAAAATTATAGATATCTTTTGCATTCTCTATCAAACAAAACTTTTGAGGGTACTATTGTGAATCAGACATAGCCCTCATAATGGAATTGGGTGAGTCCCTTGAACTTTATTTTGAATAAGAAATTTTTTTTAAAGAAATGCATGGGTATAGTTAATATCAATATTAGAGACGGAAAAAAACCGAATTTTATAAAAGTAAAAACTTAATTTTATTTACTTTCTTTCTACAGGATGTTCCTCTCTGGAGAGGGTACTTTTATGCAATAGTAATGGCACTCTTCAATTTCGTTGCTGTAATGTTAGGTACAAATTAAGCAATAGCTCTCATAACCTTGCTCTTTTTAAATAGAAACCCAGGAATTAGGAATTTTTAACTATTAACTCCTTGAGAAAGGACTAAATCGTATCTTTGTAGTCCGAGAATTACGCTATTATTAAATTTTCGATTTATTAGAACAGTCAGGCAGTGCAGACTGTAGATCGCTATAATTAAAGTCCATTTGCTTATCATCAATTAAATTTAAATTAGAAAATATTAGTTGCAGTTGATATAGAGTTGGGTCTTTTACAGATACCGTTTTTAATTATATAATTTGAAATTTCGGCCTTAGGGGAAATGTTGATAAAAAAATTTGGGTAAAAATTAAATATCAGACTTAAGATGTCAGAACTTATGTTAAACAGGACAAAACAAAAACTGAGAACAACCTGGAACCCCCCACTTCTCCCAGGAAGTTGTTAAACATGGGGGATTCAAGGGATAAAACCTTTTTTCATTTTTAGTTTCATGAGGGGGAAAATTCTTGGGAGCCCCTTTATGATCCCCCCAGCTGGGGAAAGCTTGGCGGGATTAAAGGTCCGGCAGTGGAACAGGTTGGGACGGTGTTTCCCATATATGGCGGCTGTCTGGGAGGTCCACATTGGGGTCTCTTACAGATTCCATTTCCTTATGTTCTTTATGAGTCTAGGGTGGGGCTTTGTCTCTGCTCTTTACCTGTTTACGCCATTTAAAAACTCAACAATGATGTGTTTTTATTCAAAGAAAGTTTGTAGAGAATAATTAAATTTTTTAATTACAATTGTTCCAAAAACATAATTCCATTTAAATATTAAGATCACCAAGGACTAAGACTGGTCTGTATCTCAGCAAACCAGATGATGACAGCGGTTACAGCTGCTGTCTACAGGTACTTAAAGGGACTGTTCACATATTTCAAAAAGAGCTTGACGTCTAATTAAGTGCTAATACAATCCAAAACGGAAACCGATTAAACCTTAGAGCAAATTGAATGAAAATATTGAATTAATTTTTTTCAACTCGGGTTTCTCTTGAATACTTTTTCGGATGTAATATGCTAGGTACTTATTTAGATAGCTTCTCATTTATTCAGATTTGAATTCCTTTGATAAGTTAAATTCGCGGGTTTTATGTCGTGTACATTTTTTTCTTCAATTTCTGAATTTTATTGACTTTTCATTCTTTCAATTTTAGGAAATCACTGAGACTCAGTAACTTAGCACGGCAGAAGTTTACTACCGGTGAAATCACCAACTTCATGTCTGTCGATGCTAAGGTAAAATTTTCCTTTTAAGCAAAGTTCGTGAATGTCTTTTTTACAAATGCCTAGAAATCATTATGCCTACATTTCTGAATGGCTAGCGAACAATATGCCTAAATTTCTGAACGCCTAGATAATATAATGCCTAGATAACACAATGCCTAGATAACACAATGCCTAGATTTGTGAATGCTTAGATAATATAATGTCTAGATTCGGAATGCCTCGATAGCACAATGTCTAGATTTGTGAATGCCTCGATAACACAATGTCTAGATTTGTGAATGCCTCGATAGCACAATGTCTAGATTTGTGAATGCCTCAATAGCACAATGTCTAGATTTGTGAATGCCTCGATAGCACAATGTCTAGATTTGTGAATGCCTCGATAGCACAATGTCTAGATTTGTGAATGCCTCGATAGCACAATGTCTAGATTTGTTAATGCCTCGATAGCACAATGTCTAGATTTGTGAATGCCTAGATAACACAATGTCTAGATTTGTGAATGCCTAGATAACATAAGAGTGCATTGATTGCCTAGACAATATATTTCAACAAGATAGAAACATTCTAAAGAGAGAAATATAACATATAATTCTGGAACAATTTTACAAAAATAGACAAACAAGGACATACACCGCTGGAAGAAAACATAGGTGTCTTTGTGAGCAAGTAAAGTTTGAAGTTGATGTCTTTGACAGCATGCCTAGAGCTGATTATTTTTCAACTTTGGCTAATGATATATTTTACATTTCTTTTATCTTTCCCTTTGCTTCTCCTGACCTAACCTTCTCTTCCCCCTTCATCTCCTATCATTTCCCTTCCCGTCCCCCTTCCCTCTTTCCCTTCCCCTCTTCTTAGATCTTTGATTTATTCCTCTGTAAACTTTAGATCCTGCTGATCCTAAGAAATTCAGGGATCTAGCTCTGCCTTTGTAAAAGAAATATTCAAAACTAGCTGAAGAACCCGGCTTTGCCCGTAAAAATTAGTTTAAACTGAATTTTGAAGAAAAAAATTAAATTTTTTCAGTCTATGTTAACCCCGGGATATTCAACGGATTCTCTCAAAAAATGTTAGTCAATTCGGTCCAACTGTTGGCCAGCCATAGCTAATATATATATAATATTATATATTATTAATATTAATGTATGAGGGAAATGATTTATTTTATAGATAGATATTTTAGAGATTGATTGAAACAATTCCGTTTTCCTACTTCATCTTCATCTCTCCGTTCGAGATAGTGATCTGTCTGGTTCTTATCTACTACAATATAGGTCAGTACCGTACATATTTAACTTCGAGATAGTGTTCTGTCTGGTTCTTGTCTTCTACAATATAGGTCAGTACGGTACATATTTAATTTCTAGATAGTGTTCTGTCTGGTTCTTATCTACTACAATATAGGTCAGTACGGTACATATTTAATTTCTAGATAGTGTTCTGTCTGGTTCTTATCTACTACAATATAGGTCAGTACGGTACATATTTATTTTCCCAACCAATTTTTCATGCGTACGATTTATATAGCAAAGTTGCAACACATGCTAGGCCATTCTAGGTATTAATGTCAGAGTTAAAGTTGAAATTAAGATCAAAATATAAGATCCTGAAAACTAATGTTAAAATGTCAAATAAGAGAGTGAAATATTAAGTTATAAGCTGAAGTGATCTGTTCTGATATATTGGATGGGCCAATCTGCTGAACAATCCAAAGATTTATTTCAAGGATGCACGGATTATGGGGAAGGCATTGCCAAAAGATTTCAGAAGAAATTCTGCGTTGAAGCATTTTTTGAAACGTCTTCCTTATACAACAAAATATAGGATTTCTTAAATCATACCGCAACTAAAGTGCCTCAATAAGCGTGCACGAAGTCGAGAATTTACATCGTAAATAAATGGATTGACAAATGGAGATATTTGTTGTTCAATGCGTTGATTTTGCCATATAGTAAGACTATTAAGAAGTAGAAAGCGCTAAGTGTGCAAAACAGATAAAAGAATGTAAGAATACATTACATCTTTTCTTCGGTATCAAATTTGTCGAAATGCATCATCAAAACATTTTTAGCAATCAAATCTCATGCGTTGGCGGATTTTATTTCTCAATGTCCTGTGGGCCGTTTAATGCAATATTTTGTTATGGTGTCATGCCAAAAATTTTCATAATGCCATGCATTATGAAAAAATAGCTATGTACCATGCAGTGAACAGATTTTATATTAAATTACTCAACCCCCCCAAAAAATAAATGAAGTAAATTGATTTTTCTATGTTTACTAAATAAGTAACTAAATTAGTTTATGATACATTTTTTGATCTGTAGCATGACAGAAAATTGTAAAACGGTTTACTAACTGATTTACTTGCAGGTGTGTCAATGTTTGCTGGGATTGGAGTTCTGGTAATTGTAATTCCCATTAACCTGATCACAAGTTCTAAAGCAGAAAAGGTTCTGGATGATCAGCTCACGGTATAAAGATTTTCATGATCAAAGATAATTTGGGATTTATTGAAATTTAATTTTTCTTTTTGTTAACTTTATTGAAGTAAAAAAATCTTTTTTTTAACTGTTTATGTACTTAAAATATATAGAAAAAACTGAAATAAAACTGAATGACTGGAAAAAAATACAAAATTGCAATGAAATTCAATCTTTGATCTAAAATGTTTAACTTATTTTTAATCTTTAGGCAAAGGATAAAAGAATTAAACTTATGAGTGAAATCCTGTCTGGGATGAAAGTTTTAAAACTCTATGCCTGGGAGAAACCTTTCATGGAGTCTATTAACAAGATAAGAAACTCGGAGGTTGATATCATCAAGTGTATCGCCAAGCTTTGGGCCCTGGTTAATTTTACCTTCGGAAGTGTACCCTTCTTAATGACCCTGGCCACCTTCTTCACCTTCACCTTCTCCAACTCTAAGAATGTCCTGACTGCTGATCTGATCTTTGTCTGCCTATCTCTCTTCAGTCTTATCCGTCTACCCCTTACACTTTTTCCCTTAGCTCTCATTGATGTCTTGAAGCTTGGAGTTTCACTCAAAAGGTAAAAATTTACATTACAATATTTTCATCTTGTTAGACAGATGTTTGTTTTTGTAAAGACGGTTGTTTTGTTCTTGTAAGGCGGTTGTTTTGTTTTTGTAAGGCGGTTGTTTTGTTTTTGTAAGGCGGTTGTTTTGTTTTTGTAAGGCTGTTTTTTTTGTAGGGCAGTTGCTTTGTTTTTGTAAGGGGATTGTTTACTTTTTGTAATGTGGTTGTTAGGTTTTTTGTAACTGTAAAAATGTAATGCAAGATTACAAGCTTGGTTTTGAGATTCTAAGTTGAGTGGGTTGACTTTAACAACAAAAATTCAGTTTTCCGGTAAAATTGTTTAAGTGCGGGTAAATGTCGGCAGAAACTTTTAGTAACCTGGGCAGCGCTGGGTTCCCAAGCTATTTTTGTTTTTATCTTTTAGGTTGGATGAGTTCCTAAATGCTGATGAGCTTGAGAATGCTGATGAAGTTGAATTTCCATCAAAGACTTCTAGCGCAATTGAGATATCATCAGGAACATTTACATGGGAGAACAAGGAAGAGCCCATTTTGTCCAGTATTGATGTTGAGATCAAGCATGGGGAGCTGGTGGCCGTTGTAGGATTAGTTGGTGCAGGAAAGTCATCTTTCCTTTCAGCTATTCTTGGTGAAATGATCAGGCTTCAAGGAGATGTGCGTAGGTCTGGACGTACAGCATATGTTGCACAGCAAGCCTGGATTCAAAATCTTACAGTGAAGGAAAACATACTCTTTGGACGAACTGTTGATGAGAGTCTGTACAACAAAGTGATTCAGAAATGTTGTCTTACCTCTGATATTCAACAGCTACCAGCTGGAGATTCTACTGAGATCGGAGAGAACGGCATAAATGTGTCTGGCGGCCAAAAACAGCGTATTGCCCTAGCTCGGGCTGTTTACCAGCAAGCAGATGTTTACCTCTTGGATGATCCGCTGGCAGCATTGGATGCTCATGTTGGCAAAGCAGTGTTTAATGATGTTCTCAGTAACACTGGTATACTTAAAAATGCTACACGGGTCTTGGTTACCCACAATCTGTCAGCACTGAAGCATGTTGACAGGATACTGGTTTTCAGGGAAGGAAAACTGGAAGAAAATGGTTCATTTGAAGAGCTTTTGCATAACAGAGGACCATTTTCAGAGTTTTTAAAAAATCATCTAACAAATCCAACAGAGGAGGATAAGGAGACTATCAAGGAAATATCTTCAGTTGTTGGGGAAGTTCATATTGCAAGCTCTGTTGAAAAAACACCTGAGGTTGGAAGTGTTCCTCATAGTTTCCGAAAAATGCTTTCAGATGGTTCTAATTCATCCCCTAGATTCAGAATACTTCAAGATACCACTAGCTTTGATGAGGAAAGGATTTATGGGTTACCTTGTACCCCTCTTCTTGCAGCAGCACCTTCTCAAACAGAGCATGTAAGTCATGACATTCTTGTTTTACCTAATCAAAGGCGGGGGTTGCCAAAATGATAGATTGCAAAAGAATGAGTAAGCTGTTTTACAGATTTTTCACTTCAGCATTTTAAGTGTATTCAAGGGAAGAAAGCTTCCAAGTGTGATTTGGCTTCAATCTAAAATTGTCGATTAGGTTAGGGAAGTTGAATTATGTTTCAACACCAATCTCATAAATTTAAATCTATGACTGTAACTAAAAGAAAAGTTGAAGTTACCAGGGGTGTATATAATTCCAATTTTTTATTCTTACCATCTCAATTTTTTTTTGATTCCCTTCCCCAAATTTGATAATTTAAAAGACACAATTTTTTAATATTTATATTGCAGTGCGTAATAATCCCTATTAGGATGCATTTTGAAAAGCATTAAATGGCGCAAAGGCAAAAAAGGTCGGGATTGATTTTTTGTCAGTCCAGGAGTATATTGTTTCTTGGAATTCTTTATCCATCATTTTTCTTGGGGCAAGAATTTATGAAATTTTTTAGACTGTTTGTCTATTAGGAAAAAGTAACAAGTATCATATCTGTTATGAAGTTGAGAAATTCTTTAACACTTTTTATGCTGTTTTATAACTATAGGGGAAAATTATTTATGAGAAACTCTCTGATTTTATAGTTATATGGATATGTCGAGGTAAAGAGCTTCAGCCCTCGCCCTCCCCTTCCCTATATTCCCCTTTCCTTCACTTCTTTATTTGCCAACCTTCCATCGATTCTCTACCTTCCCCTTTCCTTTGTTCTCCTTCCATAAGTACCCTACCTTCCTCTTACCTTCCCCTTCTACTTTCCTTCCTTAGTTCCCTATATTCCTCTTTCCCTCTCAACCTTTCTCCTTCCATCTCAACCTTCCCCTTTCCCCCCAACCTTTCCCTTCCCTACTTTTTATCTTCCTTACCTATCTCTTTCCCTACTTGTCTCCTGCCCTACCTATCCACTTTCCTCCCTTCTCCCTCCCTATCTTTCCCACTTCCCAATCCTTCCCTTTCTTCCGCTGTTACCATTTTCCTTTCATTTTCCCCCTCCCTTTTTTCTAATTTTATACACCCCTGAAGAAAACCTTGAGTTGTTTTAAAAATGTTGCAGGGTGTTACTGAAAGCTTTGTTACAAACCTGACACTCAGTGTCAAGTTTGGAACAAAAGTACGATTTGGGACTATCATCCCCTGCAATTTAAACGTGCACGTATTCAGTTTTAACATGATTCCAACCATCAGATAATGAAGAAGCAGGACTCATGTTCTGGTGATGGTAAGCTAACAGAAGATGAAGAGGCCCTCACTGGTAATGTTAAAATGGCAATCTACCTTAAATATATGAAGGTATGATCTCTTATAAATATTGTTAAATTTTAAGTGTCCCTCCATGTAAAGATTGCTATGCCCGATTCACTACAGTACCCTTAAAAACTTTGTACCACTTGAGAAATTCAAGTTGCTTTTAGCTTATATTAATATCAATGTTCCCAAATTCACCAGCCAACAGGGCAGAGACCTGTCTCCGACCAAAATAATTAACTCAATTAGGCCTGGGACTGAATCTGTGATTGGCGGTCTGGCAATAACATCAGATGTCGCTTGTAATTGTTAATTTTGCACGTTTTCGTTCTTTTATGACTCTGATAAAATAACTTCTTAGTGGATTTTCTTCAACAATCAAGTGAAAATAAACAAACAGTACAAATCGCAAGACCTCACTTCATTATTGATTTAGAATAGTCACTTCAATTTTAGTGTGTGGGTGTTGGACATCCCTAAAAGCCTGATTTGATTTGATGATCAAGTTTAAATTAGATATGCAAGTTTTTGTTAATTTAAACTGGTTATTTTCATAGGTAGTTTATCTGCAAAACTGATTTTAACATTTTTGATCAGATGAAGGTTTCAAGGTTTTTGATCAGATGAAGGTTTCAAGGTTTTTGATCAGATGAAGGTTTCAAGGGTATTGTTGTAAATCGGACATTGCTATCTTAGCAAGGAGTGTCACTAAAAATTAAGCTTAAAGTCTCTTAAAGTTGAAAAATGTTTAACTAGAAACATTATAGTCCCTGGGTGTTACCACATTTGTGTTTACTGTTCTGATGTACTTCTTCTGTGAATCCATTACAACAGGTAATCTATATATATAAAGTTGTAATCTCTGTTTGTCTGTCTGTTTGTTTGTTTAATCATAACTCAGGAACCCCGGGACCAATTTGCCTCAAATATTGAATGGGGAACTCGTGAGACCCGTGGGAATGTTCTTAGCTTGGTTTTTAGTTTCTATGTGGATTGGATCGACTTTAATAGTGAAAATTTAGTTTCCCGGAAAATTTTTTCAAGTGCAGGTAAACTGTGGGAGTAACTTTTAGTAACCTAGGCAGCGCTGGGTTCCGAAGCTAGTTACAAATAAAAGAATTAAAATAGAAACCCCAGATAGTATGATATGTTTTTAACTTTAATAATTTATTTTTGGATAAGGGTTGTGGGCACAAGCTCACGCATACAAATACAAATGAAATATCAATAAATATATTTCCAGTTTGTTATCAAAGTCTTTCTATTATTTTGTTATGCTCAAGATCAGTTAAAAGTCATTCATCCCAACGTTTTGTGTTGCACAATTGTCTTAAAAACTTGACCATGGGTAACCCTATAAACCATAGTGAACACTTATTTTACGCGGGCTGATCTTGCTTCCTATTTTTTCTTAGGCTTAACTATTTGGTTTGGTTAATGATATGATTTTTGTTCTAGTATGATATGTAACATTCTAATGTTTCAGGGTCTTCACTGATGTTAGCGCTCTGGGCTGATGATCCCAACAAAAACGAACCAAAGACAAGAAACACTTACATGATAGTATACGGAGCTCTAGGGATATCTCAGACTGCTTTCTTCCTCTTCAAGGAGCTTGTCTTATTCTTGGCTTGTGCCAAGGCCTCCAGATCTATTCACAATGTTTTGTTGGCCAGGATTATGCACAGTCCTATGTCCTTTTTCGACACTAACCCCATTGGTCGAATACTTAATAGATTCTCATCAGATATTGACTCAGTGGATCAGACCATTCCCTTTCTTATTGATGACTTCATGAACTGTTTTGTTGAAGTTGTCGGTATTATTGTGGTTATCTCCTACTCCACTCCATGGTTCCTTCTTCTACTTCTTCCCATTGCTGCAGTATATCTAACCCTACAGAAGTTCTACATATCCTCTGCTCGACAGTTCAGACGTCTAGAAATGATTTCAAAATCTCCAATTTTCTCTCATTTCACAGAAACGGTTACTGGAGCTGCGTCCATTCGGGCCTTCCGGGCGGAATCAAGATTCATTGGAGAATCTGAGGATCTTGTGAGCAGGAACAATCAGTGCCAATGGAGTTCCCTCAACTCAAACCGGTGGCTGGGAACTAGATGCGAGAACCTTGGTAATGTGATCATTCTTGTGTCTGCAGTTCTTGTTGTTTATGGGCGGGGAGTAGTAACTCCGGGACTGGCCGGGTTATCTATCAGCTACTCCCTGCTGGCTACTGGTTCTATGAACTGGATGATCAGGATGATGTGCTCTCTGGAGACCAACTCCATCTGTCTGGAGAGGATCTTTGAGTACACTGAGGTATTATTTTTGAATGTAACAAAATTCATGTTTCAGGCAACGCAGGCCCAATTTATATCTACTAAATTTATTTTAAGCTAACTAAATCTTTGTTCAAAATTATCTTTATGAAGTTTGTATCTGCACTCTAAATTGTATCGATTTTGCTACCTTTATGATTGATCGAAAGTTATTTTTGACAGAAACCCCAAGAGGATGCTTGGGATACACCTGACGATACGAGTATAGATCCAGAGTGGCCTCAGCAGGGGAAAATAGGTTACATCTTGATTCCAGATTATTCAATTAGATTTTAGAAAATATGAGAGCCATACATTGACCTTATTAAAGGAGCCGTTGCATCTATGACATTTTTTAATATTTCAATAAATAATAATGTTAGCTGGTTCTACTTTTGCATGTATACTCGTCTGATGCCTTAGGAACAGGATATATCTCTGTTCGGAGACCAAAGATATAGGATAAGGTAACTCCGTCGGCTCCGATTTTTGTCTCCGGCCCCTATGAATTAACAGCCCAAACTCAAAACACTTACACTATAGAACCTATTTAATTTAATGAAAAAATAAATTTTTTTTTTCGATTCTGTCATGCGAAGACAGGGTGTCTAAAAATTTGGGCTCTGTAAGTCCATTGGGACCGGAGTTGACATATCGGAGCCATCGGAGTTACATTATTGCCTTGATGATTTAATTCGATCAATTAATTAAAGGGAATGTAAACATTAATTCAAGTGACCCTTCATGCGGAGATGGCAATGCCTGATTTACAACTGCGGCCTACAAACCTTAAAATGATCAAAATTATGGAAGATATGATCGGTTCTCTAAAATCTAAGACACTTCATTTCTTACAAGGAATGCGCTAGTCTTCCAGATCTTTCAAAACATAGCTCTGAATGAGATTTTTCTTACGATAAAAATTGACATCCATGCTTTTTTCACTGTGCATCTTTTGGCCTAGGTTTTCATTTTTGTTGAAATATGGAATGGATAGTAAAATGTAAAACATTTATCTATTTCCAAATGTTGATTGGAGAAAACTCTTTTATNGTAAAATGTAAACTCTTCAAACAGACATCAGTAGCAAATATATTTATTTTTAGAATTTTGTGACGTATCTGTGCAGTACAGGGAGGGTCTGCCTTCCGTCATAAAAAATCTGTCTCTTACCATCAGGTATTTTTTAAGGAGACTGTTCACGGATTTTCTATAATCACATCACTATTATTTTCAATATTTCAAGTGATTCCGTACTAATGAAGAGCATGTCCGATTCAAAATAGTACTTTGAAATCTGTATCTGAGTAAGGAATATATCTTCTTGAAATCTGTATCTGAGTAAGGAATATATCTTCTTGAAATCTGTATCTGAGTAAGGAATATATCTTCTTAACATGTGTTTAATATTGAAAATGACTACATTTGTTACTTTAGTAAAACTACGCAAGTCCCTGAAAAGAAAAACCAAAGTTGAAATTAATCAATTTTTTGACAGAAAAAGAGTCAAATCTGATTCTTTGTTGATCAGACAAAGGTTAAAAGGATTCTGATGTATGTCGGACATGCCACTTAAAATTACATCTGCATTCCATTTTTAGTTCCTCCATTTTTGTTAATAAAGACTGGGGCATTTTTGTTAGTTTAGGGTCTTATGCTTTATTTATGAAGGGGAGGGGGGATCAAGCTACGCCCGGTGGTGTAGTCAGGAATTTGACCATGGATGGGGGGGGGGGTGCACAGCAATCGATGGGGCTTAAAAACCCCCTGAAATCCTTGGTTTCACTGGCTACGCCCATTAACTATTTAAATTATGAGGGGTGGAGAACGTATAGGAGTGTGTGGTAGAACTGGGGCTGGGAAATCTACCCTCTCTCTTCTCCTGTTTAGAATGATGGAGCATACTCAGGAAACAATTTCTTCTTAAACTGTTCTAACCAGGGAGTAAGGAATAGAAGGGAGATATAACTGACGCGGTTCGCCCTACCATATGATTACATGCTTTGCAGAAGGGTACTCCTTTTGTATATGAAATATTCAGAATAGGTTATTGTATACGCAATAAATGTACATCAGACAAATATTTCTTATTCAAATGGAGTACCCGTCTGCAAAGCATGTATAATCATATGGTAGGGCGAACCTAATCAGTTGTAGCTCCCTTCTATTCGGTTCTAACCTGTACGGAATCTGTTAGTTAACTTGTGTTTATTTCATGCAGTTATTAAGCAACTAGTTCTTCCAGTATCTTCAATATCAATTTAGTAAATGAAATTCTCTGTTTTTAATGTTGATTTGAATATTAAAATCACATCAGAGACGACTGAACAGAATTTTTATTGTCTGTTTCTATAAATTTAGAATTCCTTGCTATTTTAGACTGAATTCTTTCTGTGCGAAATCATAAAAAATGCAATACAAAGACTCCCTTCACGCAAAAGACTTAATTTAACCTTAAAATCGTCTTCTTTTTCCGGTCTCATCCTTTGTGAGTAAAAATTATTTTCGTTCCTTTTGAAAATTGAAAATCTTATTTTCATACTTTTATATTTATTATTTTTGTTGTTTTCCTTTTGAGCAGAGTGTGAAGAATTATTTTCATATGCCATCTTTTCTTCAAGTGTTATTTTCAAGTAATCAATTTTACTCCATTCCTATGGTTCAAAGACCTTAAAATCCTGTTATAAATTCGAATATTTATTTTCACATTTTGAGAAGGCCTTGGCGTAGGGTAAAATACTGATAGACGGCGTTGATATTTCTAAACTGGGTCTACAGAACCTCAGATCTAAGTTGACAATTATCCCTCAGGATCCTGTGCTCTTCTCCAGTACTCTAAGGTGAATACTAAACAACAACAATAACGCCCCCCACCCCCCTCCCTAACAGCGCAAAAAGTCAAACGGTGCAAACAAAATCATGCAACTTTGCCATCAAAATACATGTTTATTAAAAGTAAATAATGTTTATGTTTTATTTGGTCAGTTTTGAACTAATCTCCCTGGATTCCACATCTGTTCAGAACAAATTAATAGTTTTGAACTAATATCCCCTGAAATCCTCATCGTTTCAGAACAAATTAATAGCTTTGAACTTACTCCCCCTGGATCTCTTTTCAGGACAAATTGATAGTTTTGAACTTACTCCTCCTGAAATCCTCATCTTTTCAGAACAAATAAATAGTTTTGAACTTATTCCCCTGAAATCCTCATGGTTTCAGAACAAATTAATAGTTATGAACTTATTCCCCTGGAATCCTTATCTTTTCAGGTTTAACTTGGACCCTGTCGGTCAACATTCAGATACAGAACTAATTAGAGTTCTCAACCTTGCTGGACTTCAAGAGTTCTCCAGTCAGCTAGATCAGGTCATTCATTTTTAAAATGCATTTAATTATCCAGTCATTCATTCATCCTATTCATTTAAATATTTATTCATTCATATATTCATTCATTCATTTATTCATCCATCCTAATCATTTATTTTTTCATTCATTCATTTATCTAATTAAGATTTTCATTTATATTTTCATCGTTTGTTCAATGAGTAATTTACATACAATTACTTCGTTGTTTATTAGTTCAGTTTTCAATCTTTTGCCTTTTCTTTCAGATTTTCGAATAGGATCAGAATTAAAGAGAAAAAAGCTCGATATTGATTGATTATTCTCCAGGAGGTGCAGGAGAAGGGAGAAAACTACAGTGTAGGACAACGTCAGCTTCTTTGTCTTGCCAGAGCACTTCTTAGAAACTCCAAACTTCTTCTGCTAGGTAATAAATCAATTTTTTCGAGTAAATCTCGGACTGGTACTGAAAGATTTTAATTGTTCAAGATTGTAAAAAACTGTTTTTTTTGGTATGCAACAATATTTTCTTTGAATCTCGCTTATTTCAAACCTATTCATGCAGGTCTTGTTAAAACCAGCTTTTAACAAAGGAATGTAATGTACTTTCGTAAAAATTACAAACAATGGAAATTTAAACCTCCCTCGGGATTCAATGTTAAACCTATAATAGTCCTCTGGTTTATAAGCAAATTTTTCAGAGGGTTCAAGTTCCATTTTTTTATTTTTCTGAGATTGAATTATATATGGTACAATATGCAATGTACACTGTACAGTGTACACATACTTACAATTATGTGCTAACTAGTTTTGTCGGCATTTGTTTGTTTATTTGCATCTAGCTGAAGTGCAGCCCGGCGTTGCCCGTGGAATTTTAGAAGCAAAAAAATTTAAATTTTAGAGAAAAAATCGAATTTTGAAGAAAAAATATTACCAATGGGTTTAATAAAAACAATTCAGCCGTTAGGCCAGCTAAAGAAAAAATATATATAAATATATATATAATAAATATAAATGATAGAAAAGCTTTGTTATATTTAAGATAGTTTAGCAGCTTGACAAGAATAATCTAGATTTTGAAGTAATTTTGAAGTCTGATTTTCTGTTTAATAATGTAACAAGACTGAGAGAAACTTAACTAAAAGAATACCAGAAAGAAGGGTTTCTAAGCTTTAACAGTATTTCCTTTAAAGGAGCAATTTTTCTCTCTTTTGAAAATCCGTGTGTATGTTTATTTTTTAATATGACAGATGAAGCTACTGCAGCTGTTGATGTTCAAACAGATGACATTGTTCAACAGACAATTAGGTTAGTCACAAACAAACAATATTGTCACAAGTCTGCAAACAATATTGTCACAAGTCTGCAAACAATATTGTCCCAAGTCTGCAAACAATATTATCCCAAGTCTGCAAACAATATTGTCACAAGTCTGCAAGCAATATTATCACAAGTCTGCAAACAATATTGTCACAAGTCTGCAAACAATATTGTCACAAGTCTGCAAGCAATATTATCACAAGTCTGCAAACAATATTGTCACAAGTCTGCAAACAATATTGTCACAAGTCTGCAAACAATATTGTCCCAAGTCTGCAAACAATATTGTCACAAGTCTGCAAGAAAAATTTAATTTTTCTTATTTTTGAGGTAAAAAAAATCTTTCGTAAATGTTAAAATTTTTCTAAATTTTTCAGGAAACAATTCCAGGGTTGTACTGTGCTCACAATAGCTCACCGTCTCAACACAATAATGGATAGTGACAGGTTTATTTTTATATGATTCTACCGCATTTATTAAGAAAACAGTGCTTAGGATTCTCAAAATATTGGCTTCCTGGATCCGGATCCGGATCCTGTCGGCACCTTCATAACAATGATAAAATAAGTGGGATACTTAATAGACATCAATACGGATTACCTCAAAATGTACCCTATTGTTATGAAGCTGACAGCTACGCCTCCAGAATAACTGCCATTTTCTGGCCCCTATCCAGGAACTTAGGTTTTGCCCCCCTCCCCCCCCAGGATTGGCATTTAGGATCTCACAATTAGACCGTATAACATTAGTCTAGCCTTCGAATTGTATCTCGAAATCTTGAGCTTTAGCCTGTGCATCCGTACCGCTGGACGTGCTAGAAACAGCTTAACTCTGACACCCATGTCCGTACAAAGAGGACACCATACGTGTCTCCCCCAATCTATTTTTGTAGCAATTCCCTAACTGAGCATTACCACCCCGCACAAGGCTTAGGGTCTTGCTGGCAGTACTGTCAGTTTAGTGGGGCTGGAGCTTGAACCAATTCCAGGGCATGAGAAAACGGAATAAAGTAAGAAATATAATTCGAAAATTCTTCTTCTGCTTAAAAAACAGTAAATCTTTAATCATTGTTCATGACCTTCGGATCCAGGATCTGCTTACGGATCCGCATCAAAATCAAATGGATCCTAAGCACTGTAATAGAAATCAAAAAAGAACTGGTCCCCTAAACTATTAATTTTTTATATATTGGTGTTAATCATATATTATAATTCATAGTCTGAAATATTTAAAGTATAAGACGTCTGGCTTCAAAAATATAAGGATTAGAAGTTTTTGAGTAGGAGTAAAGTTATCATATCAAGCTTAAAATATGACTTGCTTGCTGTTCGTCAGGGTGATGGTTCTGGACAAAGGAGAGCTTATGGAGTTGGATTCTCCAGGGAAGCTTTTAGATCAATCCTCCTCTATGTTCTTCTCCTTGGCCAAACAGTCGGGGATAGTCTGATGTCAGGCCAGGCCAATATCAGGAGTGTATAGTGTTCCTTCAAAAATGTTTTTTTTTTCAGCCGAATGATGATATATTTAACTTTTTAAAATTATTTCTTTGATTCAGAGCTGGAAACTCTTGTATTGTGGATATCAAGATCAATGCTAGATCTTCACTTTTTGTAAATATGCAGATGAATAAAATCTTTATTTGATTACCAGGATAGTGTCTTAGAATTCAACTAATCAGAGTGTCGTTCATAGAAACCGAACAGCCAATCAAATGACAGTACATTTAGCAAACAATCAATTAGAGAAATCTCATTGGTCGGAACCCAGCAAGGATATCGTAGAGAGGATTAAGCAGAAAATAAAGTTTCTCCATCAAGATTAATCAAATGGGATTAAGGGTATCCAAAACAAAAGTTTTCAGCTTTGATCCCACAGTTGTTTTAATTCTCTTGTTTTATATATTCAGGGTGTAAGGTTTTGGTGAAAAATAATCAAATTGTTGCAAATGATCGAGCTTAATATGAACAGATAAAATCAACTTAGCAAATTCAGAAGGTTCTGAATAATACATTCTTTCAGATAAATACTAAATGAATATTAAAAGTAAGAAATTGAACATTACATATTATTCAGGAACCAATGTATAAGAAAAAGTATTTATGAATCTATCCATCCATCCAAACGTAAATTCGCGATCTCTACAGAGCTCTTATTTGTACAGTGTACATACTTTATCACAGGTTTTGCACAGTGCACATTGTACACTGTACAAAATGAACGTGTACCTTCAATAGAATATATATTATATATTATGTTAGCATATGTATACCATTCTTGTTAGATTTACAATTTATTTTCTTAATTCAGTTAGCCTGCTTAGCCAGTTTGTTAAAAGAAACAAATTAAAATAAATGTTAGTTTTTATTACTTAATTTTAAGAATATTTTCGGGCTGTGAACTTTTGAATGAAAAGAATGAGTTAAACTCGAAAATAATGAGTTAAACTCCGTTTGTTTATTTAAAATTTCCAGTTGTACGCGTCAATTCATTTAAAAGGTTATCAGGTACCGCCATTTGTTTCCATTAGATGTCAGCCTCATTCTGTAAGGTTAATTCAAAAGTTTTTACAGGGTAAATGCATTCAATTTATTTAAAACTTGTCACCCTTTTGAGTTGTGACTCTGTGAGTAGGGATATACCTTCAGTTGATTCGTTTTTAGATCTTTTTGCTTACAATTTCTTACAGGGGTTAAAATTTATAATTTTTATTGCTTATCCTTTACTTTTTTTTACACTGTTTCAAGTTTTTAAACTGACGGTAGATTATGCAAAGAAAAGTGACGCTAAAATGATGCAAAAAAAGTGTGTTGGATCGTTTTTACATTTTTTGGCAAAAGATTTTGCAACGTTTAATAAAAGCAAATGTAATATAATACAGTTTTTAAATATTAAAATATTCTTTTAAAAAATTAAAACAATCCATAAGTCATAACGATTAACAATTGACAATGAAAATGAAGTGAATAAAATGTTTCATCTCTGAACAATTAATGAATCTTAAAAACACTCGTTAAGATCTATATAAATCAATGGGCGATGTTCAAAAATTTATTTATTTTTATTTTCCCAATCTATTAAACAATGTTTTGCCGCAATACTGCTTTGCGAAAAGTTCAAGGACTTGGTGAAAAGTTCAAGAATGTCGCAGTTTAAATTTGGCCTAGAACAACAGGGATGCCGCGGTCAATGTTTAGTGCAGTTCCACGAGGATGCTGCGGTTTATGTTCAGCGCAGTTCCACGAGGATGCTGCGGATTATGTTCAGCGCAGTTCCACGAGGATGCTGCGGATTATGTTCAGCGCAGTTCCACGAGAATGCTGTGGTCAGTGTTTAGCGTATATCCACAAGGATGTCGAAGTAAACGTTAAGCGCATATCCACAAGGATGCTGAAGTTAATGTTTAGCCATATCCACAAGGTTGCCGAAGTTAATGTTTAGTGCATATCCACAAGGATGCTGAAGTTAATGTTTAGTGGGTATCCAATCATTATTTTATAGCATACCTACCAGCCACAAACACAATGAGAGATCCCTCTCACAACCCTCAAACTGTATCTTATACTTTCCAAAAAATAAACGAATATATATAACCCTGTACTGCCGGATATGACGTATGTACCACTATCACCCAACCTCTCCCATGTACCACATGTACTCCCTGCATTTCTCTTTTTGACGTCCCCGCGATAGGACCTTTCTATAAGCAGGCGTCAATTCTCCACCCTCATTCTGTTATCTTCAGGTGATTAATTATTTTTTTTTTTTTTTTGCTTTCCTTTCAGTATTAGGAGCGAGATGCTAAATACTGTTTTTTCTTATATTTAACAGTAAAAAGAGCGAGATGCTAATTTACTGAGTTTTTATTTTATACTAATAGTACAAGATGCTATTACGTTATAATTGTTTCGGTAACAGGAGCGGGATGCTAGTTACTAAGATATTTGTCGACTATGTTTCTTAACAAGGGTCAACTAAGAATTAAGAGTATAACTTCAGTTACTCTGCCGGTTTTCTAGAGCGTGATGCTATGATTTTGTATAATTTATTATTGCCGGTCAAGAATTGATTCTTTGAGCTTAATGCTAGAGTCAAATTCTCCCTTATTAAAGTGTTCTATGCCTATAACTGAATTTCTTATTCAGCATGGCGCCAGAGCGTGGAGACAAGGGCTCTAAGATTACTCCGAAGCATACGGAGAAGTCTGACAAATCCATTCCTAGAACTGAGAAAGTTTCCCCAGGTTTGGTGTTTTTCTTTATAAACAAAATGAAATGTTTTTTAAAGAATGTTTCCAATGATATTTATAATTGATAATTAAATGTTTTTTCAGCAGAACCCATCCCGAGTGGTTCAGGTCTGGCTAAACCTCCTGAGCAGGGGCAGAACTTTTTTCTTCAGTTCTCTACCTTACTGCAGTCTAACTTGAAACCTTTAAGTGACAACTTACAAGGATTGACGCAGAAAGTTTCTGGTCTTGAAGCTGCTCAAAATGATTTGCAAGCTCAATTCCTAGCTCAGAGACAACAGACCTCTCCTGTTAAATCCTCTGATCCTACTCCTCTATCTTGTATATCTGTTTCTAATGAGGTTGGGTCTGATAATGACTCTGAATTTGTAGAACAAGATGACGAGGATGAGAAGATTGAGGATATCAATCCGTATCAAGATAATTCTCCCTTAGATCAGATCTTTGAGAGTAATTCTCGTCAATTTTGGGTTCCAGAGCAGAAGCATATACAGAGCGTCCCATATCATATTAGATTATCTTCAATCTTTAACGACAAAATAAATCTTTAATACTCGAAAAACTTATCATTTTCCGCAAGAAAATTCTTATATAAGCCTTATATTATTTTTCAAAATGATAAATTCTAATTAAATTTTCTGATTAGTCCCGAAAATCGTAATTTAGACCCGTTCTCGGTCTAATATGATGTGGGACACCCTGTAGATTTATGGAACTCTGCAAGGAACATGGATCCAACCAACAACCATAAAGAGGATTGGTCGAAACCTATAGCTGTCAAGGTTAGAAAGTTTTTAACTTCGCATCCTTCAGCTAAACCATTTCTGGGTCCATCCCCTGATGATGATGTTCCAGATCTTAGATACAACAATAAGAAGCTCCTGGAGAAGCAACTATCAACTCTCCACTCATCCATTGGAGCTGGAGCAGCTGCTCTGACAGATTTGCTGTCCTCTACTGAGCTAGTTATAGAAAATCTGCAGAAAACTGCTGCAGACTACAGTAATCCAGAGGTTCAGGTTGCAGATCCAAGGGAAGAAGCTGCGGAAATATTTTCCACTCTTGCTGCAGAGTTCAAAGATACATATGTTAAGAAAGCAATTAATGCTTTAAGATTGTTGGCTGATGGTCACAATAAGGTTACAAGTCTACGTAGATCTCAATATGTGGATAATGTGACCTCTGGTTCTGAAGCCCGGAACATGGTTCGACGGCTGCAACCATCCAAGCAATTCTTGTTTGGTGGGGATATTCAGAAGGTTTGTAAGTCTTTGAAAGACGGAAACCAGTTGTCCACTGTTCTTCAAAGGAAGCCTAGTTTTGGATTCAAGGGACCAAAGAAGGATTTTAAGGGAACCAAAGGAGGAAGAGTAGATAGATTCCGGAGCAAGAACCCAAACTCCAAGTTTCAAAGGAATTTTCTTTCAAAGAACTAGACCTTTGTTATTATTGAATGTATATATATATAAAACTTGTTCAATAAATGCGTTTTTCTTTTTTTTAGATATGCCTCCTTGTCTGAGTAGTTTTGCTGCTTCCTGGGAGCAGCTTAGAGCTAGTCCAGAGATAATTAAACTTGTTAAATACGGACATGAAATTAAGTTTGACATCAAACCTTGTTTAACTCGACCTAAGTTTGAATATGCTACAATATTGTCTCCTGACAAGATGGATGTAGTTCGCAATGAAATTTCTAGTCTTCTTTCTAAGAATGCAATCAAGATAGTCCCTGAGCATATTGCTAATAAGAAGTTAGGGGTTTATAGTAAACTTTTTTGTGTCCCTAAACCTGGAGTTAACAATTGGCGTCCAGTGATTAATTTGAAACCTTTGAACAAATTTATCAAGAAAGAGAACTTTAAGATGGAAACCCTGAAAGATGTTAGAGCCACTTTAAAACCCGGAGATTTTGGAGCCACTGTAGATTTGACAGACGCTTATTTTCATGTTAAAATTCACAAGAAAAGTCGAAAATATCTTCGATTTATTTTTGAGTAAGTTCTTAACAATTTGGATGATTATTTAAATTGATAAATTGCATAAGTTTAGATTGTTTTCTTTGTAGGGGAGTAATTTACAAGTTCATTGTTCTACCTTTTGGACTTACATGCTCGCCTCGTATCTTTACTCGCGTGACAAGATTTGTTGCAGCAGAATTTAGAAAGCTTGGAGCTTCAGACTGGAAACTCCACCCAGCCATAATCAGGAAAGTGTTCCAGCGTCTGGGTACTCCAGATATAGACCTATTTGCAACATGCAACTCAGCTCAAGTTCCAGCATACTACACCTGGAACCTAGGGGACCAGTATGCACGTGGAGTGGATGCCCTAGCTCCGGATTTAAACTGGAGTCAGTACAGCCTTCCATATGCGTTCCCTCCATTCAGTCTGATTTCTTTGGTTCTTCAGAAAGTAAGCGAACAGAAAGTTCCTCGGTTGATTCTGATATGTCCGTTTTGGCCATCAAAAACCTTTTTCACAACTTTGAACAATCTTGCTATAGTTATGTATCGTCTTCCCTTCCGGAATTCTTTGGTGACAGACCTACAAACGGGCCTACCTCCTCCAAACCTAAAGAAAATGAGACTAGTCGTGTCTCTCATTTCTGGAAGTCCTATGACAAGTCCGGGGGGGGGAGCTCTAACATCAACCCTGAAGCACGGGCTATTGTGGAGTCCTCCTGGAGGCCAGGAACGGAGAGAGAGTACGTCTATCAGTGGAGGAAATGGCACAGCTACTGTAGAAATCACGCCATACGACCTCTTACCCCTGCTATAGAAGATGTGGTTAATTTTTTAACATTTCTTTTTAAACAAGGTTTACAATATAGTACTATTAATACTGCAAGATCCGCTTTATCTAGTACCTTGCCTCCTGTTGGCGGTTTACCGGTTGGACAACATTATTTAGTTTGTAGACTTATGAGGGGGATTTTTGTTAAAAAACCTAAGATTGTGGCCCTGTTCCCTGATTGGTCAATTGGTATAGTATTGGAAACCATCAAGTCCTGGGGTCCTAACCATTCGCTAGACCTGAAACTTTTGTCATACAAGACTGTATTTCTACTGGCTTTATGCTGCGCGAAGCGTCCTAGTTCGATCTCTCTATTCTCTGTTGATCCTGCCGCATTTCAATGCAATGATGATTTCTTAAGATTAGTCCCAGTGGGCTTGGAAAAACATACAAGACCTGGTTATTCACAGAAACCTGTCATTATTCATTCTTTTACAGAGAACTTGCTCCTTGATCCAGTTAAAACTATACAGAGTTATGTTCGCCGTACTCAGTCTATCAGACAATCCAACTCTCTATTTGTCAAACTCACCTCTCCTCATGACAAAGTAGCTACAGTTACTATATCTAGATGGATAAGCTCAGTTATCAGGCTGAGTGGTCAGGCTGGTTCTGGTGGTTCGACTAGATCTACCTCATCTTCAGCCGCCTTCTTGAAAGGAATGTCTTTAGATGCTGTATTGGAAGCTGGTAATTGGTCCAGAGCTTCTACGTTTCAGAGATTTTATTTTAAACCATGTAATGAGTCTACTCTCTCTGATATTGTTCTAAACTCCTAATATACAAATATATATATGAATGAATTTTTATGTTATTTAATAAACGTTTGTTTGAGACCATAATTAGTATTTTAACCATTTGGTCGCTCTACAGTCTCATTGTGTTTGTGGCTGGTAGGTATGCTATAAAATTGATATTTTGATTCGTGAAAATATAATTTTATTAATACCTACCAGCCACAAACTTTTATTTCCCACCTTTCCTCCCCTATCTCCTCCATAGCGACCAGCATGGTTCGCAGGGACATCAATACACGGTGCAAGGAGTACATGTGGTACATGGGAGAGGTTGGGTGATAGTGGTACAAACGTCATATCTGGCAGTACAGGGTTATATATATTCGTTTATTTTTTGGAAAGTATAAGATACAGTTTGAGGGTTGTGAGAGGGATCTCTCATTGTGTTTGTGGCTGGTAGGTATTAATAAAATTATATTTTCACGAATCAAAATATCAATTTTTCTGAACCAGGGGAGCTCGTGTGAAAACAGCATGAGCTATCTTGTAGCTCCCCGGCGACAAAATATATATATGTAATTGTATAGTCATTTTTATTAATATGAATATTGTTAACTTGTGGCCTAATAAATGATTTGATTTGATTTGAAAAGGATGTCAAAGTTAATGTTTAGTGCATATCCACAAGGATGCTGAAGTTAATGTTTAATGCATATCCACAAGGTTGCCGAAGTTAATGTTTAGTGCATATCCACAAGGATGCTGTGGTCAATGTTTAGTGCATATCCACAAGGATGCTGTGGTCAATGTTTAGTGCATATCCACAAGGATGCTGTGGTCAATGTTTAGTGGCAGTGCATAACCACAAGGTTGCCAAAGTTAATTTTCAACACATATTCTCAAGGATGCTGAAGTAAATTTTTAGCGCATATCCACTAAGATGCCGAAGTTAATGTTTAGTGGATATCCACAAGGATGCTGAAGTTAATGTTAAGCCCATATCCACAAGGATGCTGAAGTTAATTTAAAGCCCATATCCACAAGGTTGCCGAAGTTAATGTTTAGTGGATATCCACATTCCACAAAGATGCTGTTAATTTTTAGCGCATATCCACAAAGATGCCGAAGTTAATTTTTAGCGCATATCCACAAAGATGCCGAAGTTAATTTTTAGCGCATAAACACAAAGATGCCGAAGTTAATGTTTAGCGCATATCCACTAAGATGCCGAAGTTAATGTTTAGTGGATATCCACAAGGATGCTGAAGTTAATGTTAAGCCCATATCCACAAGGATGCTGAAGTTAATTTAAAGCCCATATCCACAAGGTTGCCGAAGTTAATGTTTAGTGGATATCCACAAGGATGCCGAAGTTAATGTTTAGTGGATATCCACTAGGATGCTGAAGTTAATGTTTAGTGGATATCCACAAGGATGTCAAAGCTAATGTTCAGCGCATATCCACAAAGATGCGGAAATAAATGTTTAGCAAAAATCCACAAGGATGTTGGTTAATGTTTAGCACAGATCCACGAAGATGCTGCTGTTTCAACTGGACTGTAACTCTGAATTGTAACAGCACTGCACTGGCAACAATAGGCTCTACTCGAAGTTTTAAATAAATTCCATTTTTCAGATCTCAAGATTTAATTTGTGTAATAAAATAAAATAAATCAACATTTATTGCTTTCATTTATCCACTAATCTTATGAAATAAAAATTAAATTAAATAAATAAGACTCATAAGTTCTTACAAAAAAATTAATTATATTATTGCAATCATTAGCTTGTAAAAGTTCCAAATCGAATTGCCCAAAACCAAAAATTCGTCTAATTGTAAGAAAAAATTTACAAATAAATATTTGGAATTTTCTTCAACTTTCCTTGGTCCAGGGTCATGCTGCAACTCTACAGAAAGCTTTCTCCTGTAAACATTTTTTTAGTTGATTTTTTAAGCTAGACGGGAAGCGCAATATTTAGTGACACATATATAGAAATTATTAGAATGAAACATTTTTAAGCTTAGGAAAACTAAAATATCTTTCACATTATTGATCAATTAGGGCTTGCCCTTTTTTCAAAGAGGGTCACTGAAAATCCCGCGTACAGTCTCTTTAATAAAATAAGCCTTAGTTTACATAATTTATCATATTTTATGTCAACAACTATTTAAAATTATTATAAGCAAAAAAAAAATTAAAAGCATTAAAGGGAGTGACCGGCTATGTAAGATAATTAAACTGAGTATGCAGTGTTGTGGAAAACTTCTTTCGGATTAATTTGAGACATATTAAACTTTTTAAAGCTCTATAAATCCTCAGTTTGAGCGCTTATTCGACGTTCAAAACTCCTACTTTGGGGGTGGATACGTTTTCAGAATTAGTTTTTTTTAGATTACTAGGCTTTTAGGGTGCTTCGCGCCCATCTTCTATTTAAATTGTGAACATGTTCTTTTTGTTTACATTTTAAAACAAAGAAGAAAAAAAATTTGCTGATTTTAAAAAAAAAATTCGCGGATTTTCAAGAATTTTAATTTTTCTACAAAATTAATAACCTTTCAAACACATTTTTTAAAATTTTTTTATCATTCATAAACCTTCCCTGTGGTCACGTGATGTCCCACACAAAATCTGGGCCCGATCGGTTCAGCCGTTTTGACGTTACAAACAAACAAACAGACAGACAGACAAGCCAAATTTATATATAGATTAAATAACGACAACGAAAAATAAAGTAAAAATTATACTGTAATCTAATTGGATGGTTAGGAACATATTTCTCTAAAGAAATTTGTAAATAAATCAATGCTAAAATCGATTATTTCGTTTTAATTATTATATTGAATTTCTAATTTTCTCTGAATTTATTCGCAGATTTCTTCAAATGTCGTCTTTTCAATAATAATTCTAGAAAATCTGCAAAAATCTTTGTGAATAATGAGAAACCAAAATAATGAGATAATAGAAACTAATAATTGAACAAGATTACTTATTTTCGATGATAAGATTAATTTTTATTTTCTCAACATAATTTAAAAAAAAAACTAATCCAAAGTAGGAGTTTTGAACATCGAATTTGCGCTCAAACTCAGGATTTACAGATCTTTTAAAAGGTTAATATATCTCAAATGAATTCAAAAGAAGCTTTCCACAACACTGCATACTCAGTTCAACTACCTTACATAGCCGGTTACTCCCTTTAAAAAGATTTTTAAAAAGTCGTTCTTATCAGACCTGTCAGGGTAGTTAGTTCTCAGAAAGAGATATTGGGCACAATCAGTCCAAGACATGTTATCGAAATAGATGACTTTTAGATCACACTTAACACACAGCAGATTACTGCATGCCCTGCACAAACAATTTCATCAAAAATAAATTGTTAAATTTCTGTAAATAATAATATATAATATATAATAAATATCACCTTTTGGCTATTTGAGTTGAATGCCCTGTCCCCGAGATGGCTCCAGCTAAGTAAACAGGGGAACACTTCTTTCTACAATTTTTTTAAAATATTAAATTAATTCGTTTTTTCATGCAATAGATAGATCACTACAATTTTCAAATGTTTTTAAAAACTTATAACTTTAGTTTCTAACGTGGTATTGAGAACTTTTAAGAATGCTTGTAAAGTAAATAAAAATTGGTTTAATCAGATATCTAGAAATCCAGAAAATATTTATATAGGTGTAAAGTAAATAAAAATGCTTTAATCAGATATCCAGAAATCCAGAAAATATTTGTATAGGTGTAAAGTAAATAAAAATTGGAATAATCAGATATCCAGAAAATATTTGTATAGGTGTAAAGTAAACAAAAATTGGTATAATCAGATATTCAGAAAATATTTGTATAGGTGTAAAGTAAATAAAAATTGGTATAATCAGATATCCAGAAAATATTTGTATAGGTGTAAAGTAAATAAAAATTGGGTTTATCAGATATCCAGAAAATATTTGTTTAGGTGTAAAGTAAATAAAAATTGGAATAATCAGATATCCAGAAAATATTTGTATAGGTGTAAAGTAAATAAAAATTGGAATAATCAGATATCCAGAAAATATTTGTATAGGTGTAAAGTAAACAAAAATTGGTATAATCAGATGTCCAGAAATCCAGAAAATATTTGTATAGGTGTAAAGTAAACAAAAATTGGTATAATCAGATGTCCAGAAAATATTTGTATAGGTGTAAAGTAAATAAAAATTGGTTTAATCAGATATCCAGAAATCCAGAAAATAGTTGTTTAGGTGTAAAGTAAATAAAAATTGATATAATCAGATATCCAGAAATCCAGAAAATATTTGTTTAGGTGTAAAGTAAATAAAAGTTGGTATAATCAGATATCCAGAAAATATTTGTATAGGTGTAAAGTAAATAAAAATTGGTTTAATCAGATGTCCAGAAATCCAGAAAATAGTTGTTTAGGTGTAAAGTAAATAAAAATTGGAATAATCAGATATCCAGAAAATATTTGTATAGGTGTAAAGTAAATAAAAATTGGGTTAATCAGATATCCAGAAAATATTTGTTTAGGTGTAAAGTAAATAAAAATTGGTATAATAAAATATCTAATAAATAAAAACTTTAGAATGGTGGATATCAGGATTAATGCTTAATCCACTCTTTTTCTTAATCTCCAGATTAAATATTGCTTATAATCCTCATGAACTTAATCTCCAGATTAATTAACAGATCGGGATTAAGGATATCACATTCTAAAGTTTTCAGCTCAGATCACACCGGACTATAAACCAGAGTAAGCAGCATTCGGTTTCTTCTATTTGAAATCAAACGTGTTTTGGTCTTTAATTCAATAATCTAATAATCAATAATCTAATAATTTAAGAATTTGCTTATGTTATACATTTTTATTCAAAATGTATATGCCAATACAAAAGTATTTAATAGAAAAGGATAACAAATTATGTTTAATGGGTCAAATTGTGATCGAAAGTCACAGCTTTCTAGAATATTGACAGAACCGTTAAATCCACGTGAGATATCCAGAAAATATTTGTATTTGTGTGAAGTAAATAAAAATTGGTATAATCAGATATCCAGAAAATATTTGTTGATGTGTGAAGTAAATAAAAATAATTGGTATAATCAGATATCCAGATATTCAGGTATAGGTGTAAAGGTAAACGTTCTGCTTCAACTTTAGAGGAGCCATTGACAGTTTATTTTTCTAAGGGGGGGGGGAATTCATTTGTTAACACTTAATACATATTCTAAGCTCTAGAGACAGAAAATTTATATATAAAGTGTCAAAGGGGGGGGGGACTTTGCCGCCCCCCCCCCCTACACCCTGCCTGGTTTGGCCGTTGAACTTACCTCTTTTGATTGTTATTACAAGGAGAAACCGTCTTTTTATCGTGTGTGGGTGTTTCAGTAACTGAAGCCCAAGCTGTTCCAGGGGGAAGTACAAAGGTAGTATTCAAACTACTGCTAGTGCTACTTCGTGATCCTCGTCTAACTAAACATTGGATTTAATAAAAGATTAACAAAAAATAAAGACAGCAAGAGAAGATAGAATGCAGCAGCAATAGGCACAGAGACAGTTTGACAGGGCTTGGAGATAATTCTGCGTAACAGGAGGCTCTGGAGGTCATTTTCTTTTTAAAGAAACTGTTGTTTTCAAGTGACTGGTTTTACAGAGTGGCACGGTACCTTAGAAACCTTACTATAATCAATTTAGTGGAAGATGTGGTTTTTCAATTTTTTTATCTCCAAATTTTTTTTATTTTTGATAATTCCTTCATCGTTTCCTACAGCAAAATGTTAAATTCCCTGTTGTAACGAAACCAATATTGAAAATCAGTTTGTAATATAATAAACATATGGCTGTGGTGGAAGACGATCCCGTTTGTATTATTGAGCGTAGCCAAATGGCCATCTATTTCATACTTGGTCAGACATTGTGCACAGATTTTCTCTGGAAAAAGGAACTTATCCTTTCGAACCAATAACTCTGAGGCCGAATTTAAAGAATTTGAGCTGCGGCTTAAATTTAAACCGCGGCTCAAATATGATGGTTCCATCTAAAAATGTATCAAATTTTTCAAGATTTAAGCCGGCTCTCAATTGAAACCGGTTGTTGACAGATTAAAGCCGTGGCTCAAATTCATTAAATTCGGACACTGGATGATTCGTCAAAATCGTTTTAATTTTTTGTTTTGTCTTTTATAGATTAAAAGTTTTCCACAATTTTGTAACATAGTCCCAGACAAAAAGTACAAAAGTATCTGAAGAGTAAAAAAACAAAACAAACAGAGACAATGTTTAATCTATGGAAGGGAAAAAGAGGCTTTGGAGTTAAATCGGAGAGTTGAGTTTTTAATAAAAAATATTATCAAAACAAATCAACTGTTAAAACCGTGGATAGATAATTTTGAGGGATTTAGGAATACAGTTCATAAATTGTATTATTTTCATTTCATGGCATTGTCTTTTCTTTCGCTAGCGCTGGAATTTAAACTGATGTCAACTGTGCAATATTTTGCCTTTACATTCATTGCATTATTTGAAATAAAAATTTATTTTAACAGTCATCTTCCTATTCTACATTTTTATGGGTCTGACTGTATTATTTTGTTACCTGGTTCAATGGGTTCATCTAGGACAGAATCAATTTCTTCAATCATTTGACTTTAATATACATTGAATCAATTTTAAATTCATAATTTAACGACATTTAAGGGGCTTTCAAACCAGACTAACAGACCCGATTTACGCATGTTATTGGTACCCAAATTGATCGGCTTATTATTGAGGAAGATGTAATCGTTATTGTATCTTTAAAATATATAAATTCTATCAATTTCTTTCACCTTTTTTTCTTCATAAATTTTCAGAAAAAAAACTGATAAATTCATCACTTTTGCATAGACAAAGGTGTACACGGTGTACCATGCTGGGATCAAACAAATGATCGCGAAGAACTTTTAAGAACAAAATTTGTCAAAAAATAAATTTGTCCTTAAATTATATGTTTATGGAAAAGATTGTGTTCCCTCAATTAATAAGTCTGAAAGTAAGAAAAATATTTTTCTTTAAATAATAATCATATTTTTCTTTGACTAATAATCTTATTTTTCTTTGAATAATAATCATATTTTTCTTTGAATAATAATCATACTTTTCTTTGAATAATAATCTTATTTTTCTTTGAATAATAATCATATATTTCTTTGAATAATAATCATATTTTTCTTTGTATAATAATTTTATTTTTCTTTGAATAATAATCACATTTTTTCTTAAAATATGATTTATATGCAATTTGCATTTTGCATGGGAAAAGTTCAGAAGAACCAACAAATTTAAAAAGTTGTTTCAATTATATGTTCCTGACATTATCTTGAGAATTTTCTATGGAAACTTCAGCGGCATTCATTTCAAGATGGCGGCACTTGGCAGAATTTTTTCCGTTTGCCACGAGCTCTGCTTCATCAAGTAGCAAATCTAGATCCTGAGAGAGAACAACATGTTTTTTGTTATCATTATATTAATTACTAGCTTGAGAATGAGAACCCATCGTTGCCCAGGGCACTCATAGTAAGTTCCCCGCCGTTTTCCCACGGTTGGTCATATATTACGATTTTAAAAGTAGACCCACTCAATTTAGATTCTCAAAACCATGGTTCTCCCAAGTTCCCCAATCAAAATTTGAGGCAAATCAGTCATCAAGTGGTTCCTGAGTTATGATCGGGCGTACATTCAAACAAACAAACAGAGAGGAACCCAGCTTTGCCTGGAAACGACTTTTTTTACAGAAGTCGATTTACTCAACTTTAAACTTTAAAACCAATGTAAGAACATTCCCGTGGTTCTACAGAGTTCCCAATCAAAATTTGAGGCAAATCGGTCAAAGAGTTATGATCAGACATGCAAACAAACAAACAGAGATAGATTACACGATTGTGGGAATTATAAACCTCCATTTGTCAACCTGAATTATATACCTCCATTTGTCAACCTGAATTATATACCTCCATTTGTCAACCTGAATTATATACCTCCATTTGTCATGTCAACCTGAATTATATACCTCCATTTGTCAACCTGAATTATATACCTCCATTTGTCAACCTGAATTATATACCTCCATTTGTCAACCTGAATTGTTAAGGAACTCTATTATCACATTCATACATAATCATTCTATTCTAACCTTATCTAAACAAATGGGGCAATGGTTAGTGAATATACCACAAAGGTAAAATAAAAAAAATAATAAAGTGAAAAACAAACTTTTGCTTAAAGAAAAACAATCTTTGTATAAAAGATTACAGTGTTAATAAATATTTCTGATATTTATCACTTAATTTGATTGAAAAATTGGAAACAAGGATTTTCTTATTTGTATTAAAATATCATATTCTAATTGTAATAATAATATATGTATTTCTTGCATATTGTTACAATAAACACCTTAATTTATATCATAATCATTTTATAAATATACTTTTGCATAAAAAACAAGTCTCTGTGTAAAATTTTAACAAAAAATGATTTGATGTATTTTTTCTATATAATATTCTAATTGAACTTATAAACATAAAATCATATACAGTGATAACCAGATAACTCTGGAATAGCAAGTCTCGACTTTTAAACTCAAGTTATGACTTTTAATAGCGCATTGAACATGAGACATTTCATCAATTCTTTTGATTGCTCCGAAGTTTTGGTTCAAACAGTAACTTTTAATATTGCATACAATAAATTAGATTTCAATGACTATAATATACCTCTTAGTTTAAGTATTTCCAGGAATTGTAGCTGGAATCATTCCAGCCACAATATGTATTCATTCGTATTTTTTTTATCAAATAATATCATTAATTTAAAGACGGCCCTGTAGGACAATATAACTAATAATCTATTGTTCAACTAAATAGTTAAACACAGGTAGTTATAATACGAAGCTCTCTGTATTGTTATACCATGTATCAATGTATATCAGAGAAAGGAATGGGAAAGTCCCCCCCCCCCGGCACCAGCAGGGAATATGGTTATAGTATGTTAATCATTTACCTGAGTTATAATAAGTGTGTAAACGTTGCATTTATTTTAACCATTGCCATAGATACATGACTTGGTGACGTATATATTTATATTTATATAAAACGACATTTAATAAATCGTTATTTTTAGTTAAACAAATCTTTATTTCATTATCTTTTACTTTGAAAGCAATTTTAATATAGCATGACTCCCATATAATATTTTTATTGATCTTTGGTATCAAACAACTTAACAAATTATCCCCCCCTCCTATCAATTTTGTACATGACCCCTTTAGTATTTATTTAGGGTCAGGTTAGGTTAAGACACTTTCTGGGCCGAGCGCTGCGGCCACGGGTTAGGTTAAGTTAAGACACTTTCAGTAAGATCCATGTACAAATAATATAGGAGGGGGGGTCCAAAAATCGTTCTCTAGGAATATACCAGAGGGTGGGGGTATTGCCCTTTTTGTAAATAGTATCAAACATTCTTGGTCACCAGAAACTGCAATCTTTTACAAATTACAAAAATATATACCGTGTTTCTTTAAAATCTTAACTTTTGCCACTTCATTCTTGTTTCTTCAAATTAATCAAATTGACCACAAAATAAATCATTTCCAGAAATGACAGATTTAAGTGGATAGGGGGGGTCCGTCACATTAAACGTTTTTTGGACCCCCCCCCTTCTATCAATTTTGTAAATGACCTAGATTTTAACTTAAGATTTTTCTTTATTATTTAGTATTATTTCAGGGTAAGGTTAGGTAAGGACAATTTCTGGGCCGAGCGCTGTGGCTATGAATGGCTTGGGGGCCGAACGCCGCGGCTAGGGAAGGCTAGGGGGTTTTTTAGACTAAAATAACTGTTATTTTAGCTTTGGATTTCTATTTAGCTGATTTTTAAAAAGCAACATTTAAACTACAGGTATCAAGGATAGGCCTAGGAAAAGCTTGACATTTCGTAATTTTTACTTTTTTGCTTATAACTGTTTATGGAGATTTTTTTGCCTTTTCAATGCTTTTTTTTTGCCTTTTTAATGCTTTTTTTGCCTTTTTAATGCTTTTTTTGCCTTTTTAATGCTTTTTTTGCCTTTTTAATGCTTTTTTTGCCTTCTTAATGCTTTTTTCGAATTTCAGGAAATATCTCAACACAAATATAAAACTCAAAGAAAATCTTAAAATGATTAAAGAAAGGTGGCTGTATCCCTCGACTTCAATTAATCCACAGAGCCATGTAAAAAGGCAACCGACTGAGCGCTTTATGAACAGATTTAAAAGTTTTTACATCAGGTTTCCCGGCTGGTGATTATCCATGAGGAAGGAGAGGCTGGACATCAGATGCCTGACCTCGAGAGGCCGGTTCAAGCTGTTTCTAAGGTCAGCGTAAAATAGTGCTTAAGAGTTAGGAAAACAGAGGCCTAATATAAAGAATTGAAACCACCAAAAACCGGTTCCAATTGTGCGCAATCTCGAAACGCTCAATTTAATTTCAAGTGATACCAACAAGGAGTATGGAATATAAGGGAGAAGGAAATTATCCGGTGTAGTGCATGGTGCCGACTCACCCTAAAGTTTAAAACCTTTTAACACAATATTAGACATAAAAAAACACTGTTAAAACATTAAGTATTATTAAACAGGGAAAAAAGTAGGCTGAATAACGCCAAACAAAAGCTTTTTTTGGAAGTAAAATTATTGGCAATGCAAACGTATTTTCTTAAAATATAAAAAATTGGTTTAATTAAATATGGTAAAGTAAATAACCACACTTAACTAAAAATACGACATTTAAAAACTCTTTGTCAAATGAAGTACCGTCTCAAAAGCATGTATAATCATCATATGGTAGGCCGGGTCGGGTCGATTCCTTCTCCAATATATTCCATACTCCTTGGATACCAACCATATTTGAGACACTTCTCAAATTTGAGCGCGTCTCAAATTCTTTAAATTCGGGCTCAGATTTATTTTACTCATTTACCTTAGGAGATAGGGTCAAAAGTATTAGGCATTTTTGACATAGCAAATCTAAAATAAGTTCATATTAATGTAAAACAGGCTGGCTAACTTAAACTACTATTGTACTAGGATTTAACTAGCCCATAATTCTTTTAGTACTGTACTGTTGGCTGTGACTAACATAAAATATTACTGTCCTGTAGGCGGTTGCTAACCTATTTTACTTTTTTGTCCACAGGACATGATCGGGTTGTAACGATCAGATCTCGGAATTTTTACTGTGAAAGTTTGGTGTTGTTTGGGTTTATATTGATATACCAGGGATTGTAGTCTGGCAGCACATTCATCCGTCCACGCTTCATTCATACTGAGAAGAGGGTTGACAAGATTCCAGCTGCCTAAGGGCTTCTTAGACCTGAGAATAATAGAGTGCAGGAATTCTTCCGAAAAACTGGAATGAGGCCCATGTGCCTTTTAGACAGAAAACATCTCACTCATTGCTCCCAATCTATTGTAAGCCTGGATTGTATTCCTCCAGGGACCTATAGCTGGCAAACATAGACTCTCCCTGCTTGTCCACCTTTCCTTTCTTCATCATCATTCACTGTGATCAATCCACTTCTTCTTGCTTAGTAGAAAGCACGCACCCTTGCGCTGCGAGAGTTGTTGACAGCCGCCCTTCAGTCCTCCTACAACCGTCAGGTTACATAACATAACGTTTTTGAAACCACAGGTTAATTTGGAGTACTGGAATCGAACCCGTGAACACCAATCCAGTTCCTGGCTGGGGACAAGTGTGCTTAACTTCAGTGAGCTAACGAGAACTTGTGTCATACACTCCCAACCCCACCCCACAACCTATATTACTGATTACAACTGTGGCTAACCTATAATACTAATATTACTGTACTGTAGGCTGTGGCTAACCTAGCAAAGGTTGGTCGTGAAATGGTTTTCTCTACAGATGATTCAATTCTACAGCAGGATATGCCTTTAGCGATTACTAAGGTATTAGAACTTTATATTTTCTTTCTCATTTATTTCCCCAAATCATTTTTTGCGATATGTCAGTGCTTAGGATCCATTTAATTTTGATGCGGATCCGGATCCTGGATCCGTACTGGAAAAAATTGGATACGGATCCAGGTCATTTCTTTGCTGATTAACTGAATAAAATAATTTTCTAATTTTTTTTTTTCGCATATTATTATCCTAAATTTTGTTAAACCATTCGGAAATGAGGAAATTTTTATAACCTCTCTTTTTTTTTCATAAGTTAAGATTTGGATTTTAGGAGTAAAAAGTTTTTTTTATGCAGTTTTTGGTTGATATTTTACCCTTTGGACCCGGATCCGTGGATCCGCATATTTTTGCGGATCCGGATCCAGGAAGCCAAAATCTTGCGGATCCAATGGATCCGGATCCTAAGCACTGGATATGTGCAAGCATTTCTAAAGTTTTGGAGGGGAAAATGAGCTACGGAAACGATCATGCATGCATTCTGCTTCTTAACCTATTAAAGTTCTTTAGATTCATTCATTTTAATAAGTAAACTTTTTTATTAAATGTTTTGGTAGAATTTTGTTATTTGGATCCATATCCGCAGATCTACATTTTTTTGTGGAGGAAGCTAGAATATTGCCATCTGGAATTGTGTAAACACAGTTACACAATTCAAAAAATGTTTGTTTAAAAAGGTCGAGAATGCATCTTCGTTATTGGAGGAAGCCTCGAACATATCCCGGGACGATCCCTACTCGAAGATGGCTCGAACCAAGCTGATCGAAGGCTCGAGATGGATTCTACAGGGAACATCAAGTGTCCTACTCTGCTTTGACGAATCTGAGGTTTGTATATGGAAATTTTTGCTTTACAAATCGAAACTTTTTTTTTTCAAAAATCGATTTTTTTTCTTCAAAATTGTATTTTAAAAAATACCACGGGCAAAATCGCGCACTTAATCTAGTAAATAACTAAGTTGTGAATAAAATCTTAATTCTTTCTCTTCAAATTGAAACGGTGTTTTATTTTACGTTTTAGTTTTTTTTTTTACAAAAACATTAGTTTTTCATAAATCAAGCAACTTTGATTTCCTGGTTGATTGGTTGATTGATTGGTTGATTGATTGATTGCTTGATCTGAGATTTGACTGACTAGGTGAGAAAGATCATCAAGGACTGTAAGAAGGTTCTGGACTATCTCTCTGTGGCCGAGGTGATCGAAACCATGGAGGACCTGGTTCAATTTGTCAGGTATATATTATGCACAATTCATGGTTTGACTGAATGGTACAAGTTACTTTTTCCATCTCTCTTTTGATTTAAATTATAAAAATAACATAAAAAAGTCAAATTTTTTAAAGACTAATTGTTGTAGGGACTTGTCACCAAGTCTGAGCAAGGTAACCAGGGAGGTTGAAAAGAGAGTGGAAGATCTAACTCATCAGGTTTTATTTCAATTTATTCAATGTATAAAAAATTCCCCGTATAAATCGGGAAAATTCTTAAAAATAGAAGGCTGGATCAATAATATGAAACTTTGACCATATAAGGTAAATAAAAGTGCTTTCTGAAGTAATTTAACCTCTTCTGGTATTATAGCATTTCTTATTTTTCATTTTCGTTACTTTCATTAGTAGATTTTATGAACTGTTCAATGTATTCGTTATTTTATTCCAGGTTCATCGTTACTTTCATTAGTAGATTTTATGAACTGTTCAGTTTATTTGTTATTTTATTCCAGGTTCATAGTTATATTCATAGCAGATTTTATGAACTGTTCAGTTTATTTGTTATTTTATTCCAGGTTCATAGTTATATTAATTAGCAGATTTTATGAACTGTGTATTGTAATCGTTATTTTATTCCAGGTTCATCGTTACATTCATTAGCAAATTTTATGAACTGTTAATTGTATTCGTTATTTTATTCCTGGTTCATCGTTACATTCATTAGCAAATTCTATGAACTGTTTATTGTATTCGTTATTTTATTCCAGGTTCATCGTTACATACATAAGCAGATTTTATGAACTGTTCAGTGTATTTGTTATTTTATTCCAGGTTCATTGTTATATTAATTAGCAGATTTTATGAACTGTTCAGTTTATTCGTTATTTTATTCCAGGTTCATAGTTAAATTCATTAGCAAATTTATGAACTGTTCATTGCATTCGTTATTTTATTCTAGGTTCATCGTTACATTCATAGCAGATTTTATGAACTGTTAAGTTCAGTGTATTTATTTATTTATATACATGTTTATAGTTTAAGATACAGGTAGAAATACAGTCCTTATGAAATTTTAAGTTTATTTATCGGATCATTTCCAGGTTCATCGTGAGATATTATCAAGATGTGTTGAACAGATTAAAACCCTTGCTCCAATACTTATTTGTAGTATGAAGATATTTATTCAGATACTGTCACAGGTAGTTGTTTAATGTTTATCTTTCCACTCATCTATTTACTTATCTAGCTTTTATTCTGTCAGTCTATCCATCTAGCTCTTTCTTACCATCTTTAATTAACAAATGTCTATCTGTTGGTCTATCCACCTATCTATCTATTTATCTATCTATCTATTAACATATCGTCAATTAATTCAAATATTTATTTATCAAATTATCTGTTTAGGGGGTTTGATCTTGCCCATATCTTATATAAAATTTTTATCATCTATGATATCCATCTTTTTACATCCATCTATATATATTTATATATCCATATTTTTACATCCATCTATATATATTTATATATCCATCTTTTTACATCCATTTATATATATTTATATATCCATCTTTTTACATCCATCTATATATATTATTATATCCATCTTTTTACATCCATCTATATATATTATTATATCCATCTTTTTACATCCATCTATATATATTTATATATCCATATTTTTTCATCCATCTATGTATGTTTATATATCCATATTTTTACATCCATCTATATATTTATCTATTTAAAAATGTGCCTCTCTGGGTTCCCTTTCAAATTTATATTTTTGATATATCTATCTTACAGGGTGGCCAAAATGTACGGATTGTACGGATTGTACGGATTGATTTTTTTTTTACCCTAAAATTGTACGGATTGTACGGATTGCACGGATTGTACGGATTTGTTTTCAAATTGTACGGATTGTACGGATTTTATCCTGGAAAATACACCGTTTTTTTTAAATTTTCACTTTATCTATCTATCTATCTATCTATCTATCTATCTATCTATCTATCAATTTCTTATCTATCTACCTATCTATCTATCTATCTATCTATCAATTTCTTATCTATCTACCTATCTATCTATCTATCTATCTATCTAGGGAGGTAAAGGTCACGATGAGGCTGGTGAGAATAGGAACTACCTGGCGGCCAGGATGTCGGAGGAGGTGGGGGCTATCTATCTATCTATCTAGGGAGGTAAAGGTCACGATGAGGCTGGTGAGAATAGGAACTACCTGGCGGCCAGGATGTCGGAGGAGGTGGGGGAGATCATCAGGTTAATTCTTATTGATTGATTGATTGACAGTTGAATGCTTGATCTAATATTCAATTAGGAATTGAGTTTTGCCACAAACTCAATTTTTCTAATTCCGATATCTTGGAAACCTGATGGTGGAAACCCTCGATAATTTAAACTTAGACTATTTGACCTAAAAGAATTCATAGTTTGAAATATCTTATGTATAAGAAATTGGGTTGCAAAGATATAGGTATAAGAAAATCTGGCTTTGTGACAAATACTCAATTCCTATCTCTTTTAACTTAATGGTTGATGGTTTTTATTATATAATGTTGGTTGGTTGGTTGATTGATTGATCCTTGATTGATCCTTGATTGATCCTGGATTGATTGATAATTGATGGATCCTTGATGGATCCTTGATTGATCCTGGGTGGATTGATTGATAATTGATTGATCCTTGATTGTTTGATTGATTGATTGATCCTGGATTGATTGATAATTAATTGATACTGTGCATCTATATTTTAAACTGTACAATTGAGCTATTAGATATACCAGATACTGTGCATCTATATTAGATATACCAGATACTGTGCATCTATATTAGATATACCAGATACTGTGCATCTATATTAGATATACCAGATACTGTGCATCTATATTAGATATACCAGATACTGTGCATCTATATTAGATATACCAGATACTGTGCATCTATATTAGATATACCAGATACTGTGCATCTATATTAGATATACCAGATACTGTGCATCTATATTAGATATACCAGATACTGTGCATCTATATTAGATATACCAGATACTGTGCATCTATATTTCATAATGTAAAAAATCGCTTGTTCTGTGTTCTGCATTCACTATTTACAGTGTGAAATTTAAACTAATCCAACTCCATCACGGGGTCTCCCGTCAGAAATTTGACATTTGTTTAACTCATGTGTATCCTAATTCCTAGGGTTCTACAGTTGGTCACATATGATGAAGATGAATGGAGCGGAGATAATCTTCAAGTAAATTTTTATATTTTTAAATTTTTCGAAAAATCGTCCCCTGCGTAGTTTTTGTACTTGATGCCGGCCTTTTATTCAAAAATTATCCTGCAACTTTTTGTATGTAAATAGTCGGAAAATAAATCAAGTTTTATTAATTTATCTGATAGAAGTTTTTGATCCTAAATATATATTAAAAAAACTTGAGATTTTCTGAATTTTGTATGTTGTTTCTCCTCTCAACTAAAATCCTTTATTAAATCTTTATTTTGAATCCCATAATGTTTTTTTTCTGGGGGGGGGGGGCAGAAATAAAGAAATTGGCATGTTTGAAGTTTTTCCCTCTTTCCAATACTCATAATCTATTTTTTAGTTACCTAACTACCAAGGTGGGGAAAAAATATAATTTTTGAAGGGAAAATTGGGGGGGGGGTTAAATGCTTCTACAAGATAATAGTGACCCCTGCTAATATTAACATAATAATACATTACGGGGGTCGATTTTTAAATCCTAATTGCTTCAACAAGATTTGTATTTTGTATGGAGCATGTAAAGAACAACTTAACTTAACTGTTCTTTTTTATTTTTCTTCTAAATTATTGAATACTGAAGGTGATGAGAAGAAGTGCTGCTACTATAGATACAAAGATGGAATCTGCATTGGATTTTCTTAGAGACCCCAGAGCACTAGAAGGTAAAATGAAAAGTAAAACTAAGAAATTATTTATTTATGAAATATAACAAAAACATACAACATTAAGTGTTTCAGGAGAAAATATTTAGAAACCTCTAAAAATAGAGGTTGTGGAAATATTTCCCCCCAATTGTAAAAAATATAAAAAAAAAATAAAAGGAAAGGAAACGGATAAGGAAAGTTGCATAGTTATTGTTTACACTATATTTGATATAAATTGGGGGTGGATTGTTAGTATTTTTCGATGATGAACTTAAAACTTTTAGAAATAAAAATTATAGATTTTGACAAGAAACATATACATCAAAGATTTTTTATTATCTTACAAATTTTAATCCATTTTTAAATATTAAATTAAAAACCATTTTTTTCCAGAGGTATGTATTGTATATTGTATATGATTTCTCAAAAAATCATTTAAGCCCGCCATTTTTAAAATAAAATTTTCCCCCCAACATTTTGGTAAAAAGTATATAAAAAAGAGGTGGGGGGGGGGGGGTATTCCCCCTCCTCGAAAATATATTCCGAGCCAAAAATATTTGGTTAAAATTGTAAAACTATTTTCCAGGTGGAGTAGGAGAAAAATCATTGCGCACAATCCTCGACCTAGCAATCAAGGAATGTAACGCGGCATTTAAAAAAATCAAAATGGCGACTTATTCGTTTAAAATTGAAAACTTTTAAATTAAACGTTTTGTTCAGATTCCTACTTGCCAAAAGGAAGATGAAAATAGACTTAATATTTTAATATATATATTAAAACAAATGGTTTATTTGATTATTAAAAATTGTGATAATTGTTAAACTCTGAATGCCGCGTCCAGGTAGCTGAGGGTTCCCTCCCTCTTGATGCCGAGCATATCCGCCGTGTAGCTGCTGACGTCACAACTCTTACCAACGGACTCTGTGAGCTGAGAGCTGCAGGGCGGGGAACCACGCCTCAGGTAAAAAACTTTGATCTGTCAATATGTTATTATAAATGAACAGGAAAGATCGTCATTTATAATGAAAAATTTTTCTACTGAGGGAAGTGTGAATGCCTTAAAATAAAATTGTATCCAAATTTTTGCTTATCTGTGTAAACTGTATTTGTTAGGCTGAGAATTTGGCTCGAAGTATTGAATCAAGATTAGGTGAGGTCTGCGCTAGTGTTGCTCAAGCCGTATCCAGGTATGCATTTAGATTGAAATCCAGGTAACTGTAATTTCTTTATTGCCAAAAATAGAATGAAACCAATATTATTTAAATGTTGCAACTGTGAACTGGCATCAACTGAAGAATGTCATTTATGGAAATGCTTCCAGCAAAACATTCTGACGATATTTAAATAAACATTTTTAGGAAAAACATGGGTTCCCTAAATAAAAAATAGATTCTCATGACCTATTTCTGATCAATTGATTGAAAGAAAAAAATTTAAGATTATTTTTTAAAATATTAAAATGTTTAGACTAGAGAAGAGTGGAATCCAGCAACCTGCCCATACTGTTCAGGGTAGACTTGATCAAGCTAGGAGATGGTTAGATCAACCTGGACTAGATGATAGGTAATATACTCTTATATATACAGTACTGTACAGGGTATACTAGGAGATGGTTAGATCAACCTGGACTAGATGATAGGTAATATACTCTTTTGTATACAGTACTGTACAGGGTATACTAGGAGATGGTTAGATCAACCTGGACTAGATGATAGGTAATATACTCTTATTGTATACAGTACTGTACAGGGTATACTAGGAGATCAAACCAAAGATGGAAATGAGGATATCTATTAACAGATCTATATTTTAGAAAATCAAGTTCTCTTTGGTATTTGAGAAACTTAATGTGAAGGGAAATTATAAATGTTAAATCAAAATTTGGACATCTTCTTATTGGTCAAATTTTTTTTAGGGGTAAAACCTTTTTTAAATCAAGTTTCTTATTTATTCAAGTAAAACTTGATCATTGACTTAATTATTTGATCTTGTACCCAATTATATAATAATAGGCTTTCAGGACGCTTCGCGCCCATCTTCTATTTTAATAGTTACTAAATCTTTCAGCATTATCTATTTGATAAGACAAAAATAACGATTTTTGCGGATTTACATTTTTTTTGTGGATTCCAAAGTTTTACGGAATCAAAAATGTTTGTAGACAATTTTTGTAATTCTGAGCATTCCTAAACCTTCCCTGGGGTCATGTGAGGTCATACACAAAATTTGGGCCCTGTTCAGCCGTTTTGACGTTTATTTGATACAATAAATATATAAATAGTTATATTCTATCTTCTGATATATCTAGCATATCTTGTACCCAATTATATAATATAATTATAGTCTTTGAAGAGAAATAATGATTCAGGGGTGTTGGACAGCAGGCAGTAGATTTAATCCTAGAAGAAGCCCGGAGGGTTGGAGAAGGATTAAACCCGACCTCTAGAGCTAAAATACAATCCCTCTCCTCAGCAATACGTTCAGATCTAGGTTAGCTGAAGAATTTTATTTTAACTCTGCATTCAGACAATAGTTATTTTATTTAGTTTTCCAGGAGTCAGAACTTTTTTGTTGTCACTCTTAGGATCAAGCGTTGATCTCCACCTGATGCAGTTCTACATATTAATTTAATTTCTCTTCGATATCCCGTGGTTGACCAATGAAATTGAGGGATCAAGTGTCAATTATGTCTCAAATGATTTGTAATTGATTTTGATATTCAGGTAAGCTGTTGGAATCCTCCAGAAGAGGGGATGCTGGAAGTCCAACCGGAATCAACCTGGCGCGAGGTATCAATCATAACCTGGTTGACCTGGTAGACTGTCTCCAGGGTGCCCTGGTTGATCGGGTAGTTCAGGACTTCCTTGATATATCCACTCCCCTTAAACAGTTTGCAGATGCGGTCCTCACTCCCTCCACCGATCCTGTAGAACGGGAGGAGACCCTAGAGAATAAATCTGCCAAACTAATAAATTTCTCAGAAAGGGTTGTATCCACCTCTAAGCTGGTAGGTACAGGGAACACAACAGGTAACAAGAAGGTCTCTGAAGCTATACTAGCAGCTGCAGGTCAAATTGAATCCTTGACCCCCCAGCTAGTAAATGCGGGAAGAATACGCATGGTGTATCCTGAGAACAAAGCAGCTGATGAACACTTTGAAAATCTGCGAAAACAGTACGCAGGAACTCTGGCCAGAGCAAAAGCTTTGGTGGATGAAACAACAGACTCTGTTAGATTTATCGGAGAGTCTGCCCAACTTATGAAACTGCATTCAAAACTCTGTGAGGAGGCGATACATAGACTGGATCCGAGTAAAATGGTGGAGAACACTTCCGCCATAGCACGCTTGGCCAACAGAGTTCTTCAATTGACTAAACAAGAAGCTGACAATTCTGAAGATCCAAGATACATTTCTGTTCTCAACATTTCTGCAGAGCAGCTTCAGTCATGTGTATCTCCTATGGTACAGTTTGCAAAGGTTGTCGCTATGAATATCCAGGACAAGAACGCTGTAGAAGCGTGGCGGAAGCAAAACCAACTTCTTCTCGAAGCCGTTCACGGTGTTCACTCAGCGGTCTGTTCAAATCATTCAAATAACGATGAACAACCACCTCTTCCACCCTATCCTGAGCTCTCTGCCTTGAGATTAGACGGTGATTATGACGACGCACCCCCTCGCCCTCCACCCCCCGGTAGCGGATACAACATGTACACGCCTCCTCGTCCTCCCCCACCAGACAGCACAGACGACGAGTCTGAAAATCCATTTGACTGTGCCCCTACCCCTAGCCAAGGTCCAATCATGATGGCTGCACACGACCTTCATCAAGAAGTGCGTCAATGGTCCAGCAAAGATAATGACATCATTGCTGCTGCCAAGAAAATGGCAAACCTGATGGCAAAGTTAAGTAAGTTGGTCCAGGAAGAGGAGGGAAGCAAGCGTGAGCTGATATCTATTGCCAAAGCTATAGCAGAGGCAAGTGATGAAGTATCCCGATTAGCTAAGGAGCTTGCAAAAGAGTGCACAGATAAGAGGATGCGCATCAATCTTCTTCAAGTATGTGAGCGTATTCCTACAATCGGAACTCAACTCAAGATCCTCTCAACAGTCAAGGCGACCATGTTGGGAGCTCAAGGGTCCGAAGAAGACCTAGAAGCCACCGAGATGTTGATCGGGAACGCGCAGAACCTGATGCAGTCCGTGAAGCAGACTGTAACAGCAGCTGAAGCAGCTAGTATTAAGATAAGGACAGATGCTGGAATCAGGTTGAGATGGGTGAGAAAGAATCCATGGTATCATTACTAACTACTCAACCAGAGCTTAAAACTTTAGAATGAGATATCCCTTATCTCGATTACTTAATCTGAGTATCCAATGGACACACTTTTGATTTTCTTCTTAAACTGTTATTTCTTGGATATAGTAGAGAAAAATCAAAAACTGGTTTTTAAAATTAGAGAGTTCCTCCCGTTTCTTTATATTGATCTTAAATGGCGCGCAAAATTTCAAATTTATCGGCTTCATATACGTGACTCTGATTGGTCTTGATATTAAGAAAAAGAGAGGATCAAGCATTAATCTCGATATCCACCATTCTAAAGTTTTCAGTTCAGGACACAACACACCTAGGATGTAAATGGTTGTAATCTTATCCTGAAAAATTTTTATTTTACAAAATTTGTATGTCACAGAAAACCAAGAAACCTCTAGCGACAGATTTCAACAAAAATGCGTTTTTTTCAGCATACCCTGATCTCGTGTGCATTTTTTTCATCATTGTTACCAATCCATCACAAAATTGTAACCGACGTCCGTTCCTGATTATATTTTTAACGCATATAAAAGGGTTCAATAAATTGAACTTTAAATGAGAAAATTGTTTTCTTAAAACTTTGTTATAAATTAAGTGCCTAAATATGACTGATTGCAGTAAATCACTGAAAAACTAATAGAAAATTTTTTCTAATGTCTAATGTCAAAAACTTTCAGATGAATCCGATTTTTTTATATTTTGTATTTTGTAAGATTAAGTATTAAAGTCTGCATTTATTATGATTTTTATCCAAATTGTTGATTTTTTATAAAAACTAGTTTGACCAGTTCTATATTTTTTGTGATATTTCTTATGCAATTGTTAGATTTAGATCATGCATTAAATACTAATTTATTTTCAATTGTAAAACCAGTTTTGTAAATCTTTTTTATGAACATTATAATTAACACATTTTTTTAAATTTCGCTCGTAACTTGGTTGATTTTTGTTGTACTTCATTGAAAATAGTGAATTCACTGTAATATTAAATCCCCCCCCTCATCCCCAAAAAAATTAAAAGTAATTAAAAAATAATCGACTTATTAATATTTCAGTATGTTTAAAAGAAAATCCCCGTTGCTTTTAATTTCTTCAGAGAAACATAATTTTTTGATGTCTATGAGAATAAGTAAATAATCGACCTTAAGTATTTTTTATATGTTTAAATTTTTACTCCTTTCCTAGAACTAAATCTTCCTTTTTGAGCTTTTTATATGCTATATGATAAGGTTGTGACTAATTTGTATAAATTTACAGATTTAGTTTGAGAATGGAGTAGGGAGGAGTGATAATATGGAGGATAAATGCGTCAAGGGATTAAATCCCGCTACCTACTGCGATATTAGGTTAGATTTTACGCTACCTACTGCGATATTAGGTTAGATTTTATATAAAGGGACTGTTTTCACGGCTCCACCGACTCCTAGAAGGTACTATTTATGAATTAAATTTCGTGATATAAAATTGTTTTTATATGTATTTTAAAAGGCCTATTTTTAAGAAAAAATCATATCATTGTTTTATTTTGTTTAGTTTACAAGATCAAAATTAAATTTGCAAAAAATAGGCTTTTAATCGGTAAAGTAACATTGACTCAAATTGTATAATATATTGTATATTAAAAAGGTTAAGTTTTCGGTAGGTTGTTAATGGAAAAAGGACAAAAGTGTTGATTTAAGCCGTTCTAGAAATTAGTATCAAGGCTTGGAACATGCCTCCCTTGAATTTTGAACAATTTTTCGGCAAATAAAAATTCAGGGGTGTAAATTTTTTAGAGGGGGGGGGGGGTAAGAAAATGATTTTTAGAAATCTTCGAGACCAAATGGCGTAAATTAATAATATAAATACAGTTTTTAATTTTTCCATTAATTCAGGCAGGATGTAGAGCAAGACATGAGTAGCTTTAATGCTGTGAAAGCAACACAGTATGGAGCTTTGGAGAGAGTTCAGGAATAAAAACATTCTCAAGTTTTTAAGGGGAGTGTTCGCAAAAAATGTAAGGGGTGTTAGGCTGTATCATAACCAAATTCGTATTCGATTACTTACAATTTTTGTTCTGTTTTGTTTCTACACGTAGAAAATGGTTAAAAACGATTAACATCCCAAAGCGTAGAGCCCATGTAAATTGTAAATTCACTCCAGTCTCTTGGGATTAAGCGTGTTCAGATAGAAGTTAAATTAGAAGTGATCGAATCTGAATTTGATTTAGCCTAACCCTCTTTCATTTTTAGCAAACACTCCCTTTAAGTATTCTAAAAGTTCTTTTGTGTCACAAACTGAAATGATCGCCAGACCAGACGCAAGAGGGAGGGTAACTTTAGCATGTTGTAATCTGTACCACAATAATTGTGGACTGAAAGGGACAAGAATTGGCCTAACCCTACTACTCCCTGAATACAAGTACAACCCAATGCTAAGATTTTGGTTGTTCTGTGGGCCGGTTTGATCATATTTAGAATAAAAAAAAACTGGGCTTCAGGCGCTTCGCGCCCATCTTCTATTTCAACTTTTAATCTGCCTATCTGTGAGCATTTGTACAATATAAAACTAACAAAAAAGTTAGCGGATTTGCAAAATTTTACAAAAATCGAAAACTTTTGGACACATATTTTTGTAATTTTGACTTTCCCTTGGGTCATGTGAGATCCACAAGAAATTTGGACCCGATCAGTTCAGCCGTTTTGACGTTTATTTTATGCAAACAAACTGACAGAAAATTAAAGTATACAAGTAAAATGTCTAATTTCCAATGTGAGAATGTTTGTTTGAGTTTAGGAGATAATAGAAGGGGGGTACAGCGTAAACACTAGGGATGAAGAAAATGTGACATTACTACATTGGGCAGCTATCAATAACAGGAAACCATGGATTTTTATACTTGTCTACTGTTGAGTAGTGTCTAGTTCCATGCCAGCAAAAAAAAATGTGGGAAATAAAAAAAAATTATGGTTTATCTTTTTTATTCCCCTAAAGATGCGCTTTTATGGGCGGGCTATGAGCGCTCAGCCCCCCCCCCCTAGATCGGTGAAATTGATGGTTTTTAGGTTTTCAGGCCTGAGTCCCCTCCCAAAAAGATAAAAACAAAAAACTTAGCCCTCGTCTCGAAAGGGGGGGGGGGCTGAAGTTTTTTTGAGATCTTTTTAACGTAACCATTCCTTCCCTTTACCACCTAAACTCGAAAGAATATTTAAGCTAGTATTCAAATAAATTGTTGAATTAAATCCTGGTTCTGAATAGACGTGAACTAGTTCAATACCTAGTAAAAAAAGGGGCGGATCTAGATGCGGTGGGCGGGGAACTTATGTCCACCCCTCTTCACTGGGCCACCAGGCAGAATATTAAAACCAAAGAAAAAATATTTTAGGACTCATTTTTTTGCTCTTATTTAGAGCTGGTTTTTAATTTTTGTTAAAATTCGTTTTTTTCCCCTTTGGAATTGTTTTTAATGGAGTTGTGTTGTAAAAAGTAATTAAAACATTTACAGACAGTTATATTCTAAATGTATGTATCGAGACTTCTAAAAGAGGAATTCTCAAATTCATTTATGTTTTTTCTCTTTTCTCTTGGGAAAACGAATTCAAAATTAATATCAGAAAACTTTGGTTTAGTTAAAAATATTTTGTAGACAAGGACATACTCAAGTTCTAGTCCTGCTGTTACAGTACGGTGCTGACCCGTCTATTGTTGACGGCGAGGGGTGTGCCTGTCTTCACCTTGCAGCTCAATTCGGTCACACAGCCATTGTAGGATATCTCATTGCTAAAGGACAAAGTGTAAATACTCAGGTTAGGAAATATTTCCGTTAATCCCCCCCATTTTGTCTTAATAGTGCCTCCTCCGATATTTTAAGACATCAACAATTATTTGTAAATCTTGACAGTTGAATTCTAATTTTTTATTTTGCCCAAATCCTTGCAATGCTTAAGTTTTACATAGTAATTAGTTTGAAAGTAGTTATTTAAGTGATCGGAGACTTAATTTGAAGTAAAACTTTATTTATCGAGCTGTATGTCCGATTCACAACGGTTCCCTGGAAACCTTCATCTCATAAGAATTGTGTAGATACTAGATATTCTTGTTTTTCTGTCTGACAACAGTTTTTTTACAATTGCTGCTTTTCTTTCTAGATAACTTGCACATTAATGCAGCAACAATGAAGGAAACACTAGAATTAAACACTTCAAGAATGAAAAACGATCATATCTTCCTCATTGTTGCTCAGATGAAGGTTTAAAGGGTACCACTCTCAATCTGAAATATAAAAGTAAATAAAGATGGAGGATATCTTGAAATTACAATTCTAGTCTCTTTAAGTAAATAAATAAAAAATAAATGGAATTAGATGTTTTGATGTTTAAAACTAGTATTTTTCTTATTTTACTCTACAACAATATGTCTGCAGTAAGAATGAGAATTGCAGAATATTTTTGAATATAGGATGAGAACGGGATGACTCCTTTGATGTGGAGCTGCTATAAGACCTCAAGTATTGACCCGACACGACTTCTGATTACTCTTGGGGCATCCCTTACCATGCAGGATAGTGCAAAGGTTAAAACTTTAAATACACGATTTTAACAATGTTTTTATCTGTTAGTGTATACTGTATAGCTTACACATACAGAGAGCATGTGCCTAACTCCTTTGGACGTTTGCCTCAGGATTATTGTTAATGAAAAACCCCTAAATCTTAAAAAGTCGACATCTAGTGTTCTAACTGTATTGTTATTAATCTATGAAGTAAAGTAACTAAAGACTAATTCTAATTGTAATGCTTTATATTTTTGCTACCGGATGTTGAAGACCTTTGATATTTCAAGCTATGAACTACGTCGCATTAGAAAATAGAAGTTTTTGGAGAGCGTTTTATCTTGAAAAGGCGACATCTAGTGATCTATCTTTATTGTTCTTAATCTATGCCTAACTTGAACTTGAATTTGATTTAATTTAATGAGATTAAATTAAACCTATCGAGATATACCAAAGATGTTTGAAATCTTAATAAATAAATTTTCCAAATTTTTCATTTCCTTTTAAGCAATGAATTTTTTTACTGATTAAACCTATAAACGACAAATTCTAGTTTGTGACATGCTAAAAATTATTGTAAAAAGATGTCCCTTGTAATGTATATGGTATGAGGAATGTGGTATACGATGTGTTAGCACTATCCTCTCTAGATGGACATGGATGATATAGACAGACAAGGATACGAGATGTTCCTTGTAATTTATATGGTATGAGGAATATGGTATACGATATGTTAACACTATCCTCTCTAGATGGACATGGATGATATTTATAGACAAGGATACGAGATGTCCCTTGTAATGTAAATGGTATGAGGAATGTGGTATACGATATGTTAGCACTATCCTCTCTAGATGGACATGGATGATATTGATAGACAAGGATACGAGATGTCCCTTGTAATGTATATGGTTTGAGGAATGTGGTATACGATATGTTAGCACTTTCCTCTCTAGATGGACATGGATGATATTGATAGACAAGGATACGAGATGTCCCTTGTAATGTATATGGTATGAGGAATGTGGTATACGATATGTTAGCACTATCCTCTCTAGATGGACATGGATGATATTGATAGACAAGGATACGAGATGTCCCTTGTAATGTATATGGTTTGAGGAATGTGGTATACGGTATGTTAACACTATCCTCTCTAGATGGACATGGATGATATAGACAGACAAGGATACGAGATGCCCAATAGTGTTGCATAATGTTCAACTATTCTTGATTAATTAGCCTTATAGGGGTACAGCAATGCAATCAGTTGAAACATAGTTTCAACGATGCTTAAAAATGTCCATTTTGTGTAGAACCTTTATCTTTTTCACAACCCATAAAGCCTAGTTTATTTAATCAACTTGCAAGCAAATCTATAATTTTTATTTCTAAAAGTTGGTTGTTCAATGTTCATCGTCGAAAAATACTAACTATCCACAACAAGTTATATTAAATTTAATTTAAACAATAAGTATGTAACTTTCCTTTCCTCTTTCTTCCTTTCATTTCCTCTTCCTTAAATGTATTTTTAGAATTGGGGGGAAATATTCCCACAACCTCTATTTTTAGAGGGTTTTTAAATATTTTCTCCTGAAACACTTAATTTTGTACTTTTTTGTTTTATTTTATAAATAATTATTTACTTCAGTTTTATTTCTTGTGTTTAGGGCAATACAGCTTTGCACTGGGCTATAATTGGTAAAAGCAGTAGTTCTACCTCACTTCTAATCAACAAGGGAAAGAGTACGGGTATTCTTAACATTCAAAACTCCCAGGTCTGGTTTTTATTTCTTCATATTCATATTTGTATTCAACTACAGAGCATGAGATATTACAAACAATCAATCACAATTTACTACGCAGTTTGGACCCGCCTAACCAGGGTAGGTTGTTTGGAGTGGTTGGGGTGTGCACTTATGGAATTTGGTCTCAGGGTTTATATTGGTTGATAAATACGGTCTGTCACTTCTTTTCCTTCTTTTTAGAAACTTTTTACATCAAAAAATTAAAAAACTTTAAAACACATTGAGAAAGCATAGTTTTTAGATTACTATAAACCTCGCAGGAAATTGGGGGGGNGAGCGGGGGGGGGGAGGCAAAGATACAAAGAGTATACTGTTAAATTATGCAATTCTAAACAATTTTGTATCAATATGTTAAAAAAAGTTTTAAGGAAAAGATGTGATAAATGATAAATTTATGTTTTCAATATTTATTGATGATTATTTTGTGCAGGGTGAGAAACCCTATGATCTCCTCCAGCTCCCTGGTCCTAGTCAAAATCAAAGAAACAGTCATAATCATTCTCATGGTGCTCCACCCCCATCTCTTCATTGGTTACCCTACAGAATTAGGAAACAATCTCAGAACATTTTTAATTTAAAGAATTTTTGTTTAAGCCCTGGATTGACATCATAAACTTTATTTTATTCGTTTATTTAAGTGGTAATTGAGAGTGTGCCTCATGTTTTTAACAAGGCCGGAGTTTTGACAAAGTTCACCGTTTAAAGGTTCCAAATATCTAACTCCCTGTTCTGCTTATGCAACCTGAGATTCCACATTCAAAATAGACGCGGCTACGAATAAAATTCTTTAAATATTAATGACTAAAAGTTTTATTAAAAATTTAATTTCTTTTAAAACCTGTTAAAAGACAAAAATTTCAGATTGCAGTTAATTCAGACATTAAGTACATATCAAATCTTCAGTGCCCGAAGTATAAAGTTATTTCTTTTGAATCGACGACTTAAAGATTTTTCTTTTGTAAACATTTTGCAATGAGAGGTTTCTTTATACCATCTAAAGATAGTAAATATAAATATGCTTTTTTTATGGATGAAAAACTTAAATGTTTCTGCTTTGGATTTGGAGTAAGCTTCATATTCTTTGAAAGTACTGCCTTAATGCTTTTCAACATTTCAATAAATATTTAAACCTTGTACGTAAGAAAGATTTTTTAATTCTAACTTTCTCATGTTGCATGTTGCATGTTGCATGTTGCATGTTGCATGCAGAGAAAGAACATATCTTGGTAAATATTAAGAATCATTTATCACAAATTCTCTATTCTCTTCAATAGAGTGTACTTAAATGTTGTAAAGAGGAATAACGTATGCAACATTCTTTAAAAATATATTTAAGCTTAAAAAGTTTTAAACAACTGAGCAGTGAGCATTTTACAATATCGGTAAAATTTGAAACTTAAATTTTTTCACTATTTAAATCTTTAAAAGGAAATAAAATGAAATATTTGTTTTTATGGTAATCAATCATGAGTTAAATAAAACACACCTCTTGTTGATATTTCAACAATGGTTCTGTTTAAGCACACAAATAAGAACAAACAAATATGCTGTACTCTTTTCCATATTATACAAAAATAGTTTCGGTAAGGTAAATAAGAAGTTAAAACATGACATATCAAATTCATAAATGAAGTTTTTTTCGCTTTAAGAATGGTGAATCATTTGGACGAATTTAGTTTTTGTGTATTTGTATATATCTGGATCTAAGAGGCAAAAAGCAGGGGGAACAATAAAAACCCAAATCCTGGCTAATATTATCACAATTTCAAGATTAGATTGGAAACCAGATGCTTGGTTTTGGTGAAACTTTGCGAACATGGACAACAAGGCGACCATGAATAAAGCAGACATCACTAATGCCACAGTAGAAGACCTTACCAAAAGATCTTTTAGAGTTTTTGCAACATTTCGAAAATAATACAAAAATGTCTGCTTGGCTGAAGTGAATCTTGAAGTCTGTTCAATTGGTAGCCAAACTTCTTCACTTGGCTTAAGAGATGAACTCCTCTCTTGCAGGGTTTTCACTGTCAAAGAACAAAAGGATCTTGATCTTTGAAGTGTGGTGGTCTCCGTCATTTGAAATTGTGATTGCAAATTTTTGGGTTTTAAAGCTTTGTAAACAACAAACACAATCCTTGATCCTTCAGTAAGGACGGTGAGGAAGACAAATAAGGTTGGTAGTGGAATGTCATAGCATTCAACTTTATTGTGGTCCACAAGGATTGAATTGGCAGCTGAGATGTGATTGAATTGCGAATTATTCAAGAATCCTATTTCTGTTGGAATTAATAGAGTACCTTCAGCTTCATATGCTTCACCATACTTTGTTAAGCACCTCAAATCATTTATTAAGACATCTAGGACTACTGATGCTATCCCCTGGATTATTGACCAATTAACAAATAATGCCTTGTTCATATTCTGATAAGTTATTGGACTTACAAAAAGAATTATCCGTGCAGTTGATATTGCTTGCAATGTTGTTGCCTGTAATGTAGCAAAAGGTCTGAGGTTGAGGATATATTTGGCAAGTGCAGTATGTTCTTGATAGAACCAGAGGAGGTGTCCTGGTAGTAGGTTTCCAATCAGAGATATCACCATCATTCTAGTTATAAAGATCTCTTCTATCAAGATCAATAACAGAAGAAGGGAGTTAAGAATGGATCGCAGGGATTGACTAATTAAAAATGACTGGATTGAGATGCATGCTGTCCAGGATAACAGCCCAGCTAGTATGTCTATTGTCAGAGAGTAAAAGCTTGGCTTTCCTGGAACGATAGTCACTATCAGAAGATGAGATGCTAGCAGGATAGACACAAAAACCTCTCTTTTCAGCATTTTTATCTTGGTTGAGACTCTTGATACTTGGCCTCTAAACTCTTGATGCTTGTCCTCTAAACTCTTGATACCTCTCCTCTAGACTCTTGATACTTGTCCTCTAAACTCTTGATACCTTTCCTCTAGACTCTTGATGCTTGGCCTCTAAACTCTTGATGCTTGGCCTCTAAACTCTTGATAACTTTCCTCTAGACTCCTGATACTTGTCCTCTAGACTCTTGATGGTCGTCCTCTAAACTCTTGATGCTCGTCCTCTAAACTCTTGATGATTGTCTTCTAAAATTGTGATGATTGTCCTCTAAACTTTTGATGATTGTCCTATAAACTCTTGCTGCTTGGCCTCTAAATGTAAAATGAATGACTATAATGAAGGATATAAAACAAGGTGAAAGCTGAAAGGTATGTAATGAAGCCTTTAATAGATTGAGTTTGTTAAACTCTTGATACCTTTCCTCTAGACTCTTGATACTGTCCTCTAGACTCTTGATGAATGTTCTCTAAACTTGTGATGCATGTCCTCTAAATTCTTTATGATTGTCCTCTAAACTCTTGATGCTTGTCCTCTAAACTCTTGATGATTGTCCTCTGAACTTGTGTTGATTGTCTTCTAAACTCTTGATGCTTGTCCTCTAAACTCTTGATGATTGTCCTCTGAACTTGTGATGCTTGTCCTCTAAACTCTTGATGAGTGTCCTCTGAACTTGTGTTGATTGTCTTCTAAACTCTTGAAGCTTGTCCTCCAAACTCTTGATGATTGTCCTCTGAACTTGTGATGCTTGTCCTCTAAACTCTTGATGTTTGTCCTCTAAACTCTTGATGAGTGTCCTCTGAACTCGTGATGCTTGTCCTCTAAACTCTTGAAAAGAACTGCGGTGAATTAAATGGATGGTTCAAATTTTTACTCTTTTGGTAGAGACAGCCTCTAAATAGAGAACACAGAGTGGGATTATTTTATTAAATGCATTTCAAACTAATATCGGTCTGAAATAATTAGATAAACCTTTTACAGGTACAAATGTGAATCTGAGTGCAACTCAATCTACAGAGGGTCACTTGAAATTACGCTATTAGCCCCATTATCTTAAAGATTTTCTACAGTAATTAAGACAATTGTTATAATTAAAATCCATTCCATATAATAATAATAATAAATAAAGAATTGAAGTGATGAGAAAAAAAAATGATTGCACAAAAAACTTAACTGACTTTAAAAAGCATTTCTAATGAATTTGTGATTATCTGAGAATTCTTCAGGAATATACTTGTTAACAATGAAAAGCCTTCGACCCCCCTGAACCCTATCCGAAGGTTAATGGCAATGCCATATGTGAGAGCTGCAGCTATGCTTGCCGTACCTTTCATCGCCTTCTTCAGTATTGGGTTTATACTGGACATTACAGCAGATTATCTAGTCAAGTTAGGTAAGATATAAATCATGTTTCTTTAATATTTTATCTTTTACAGTTTTTAGTTACCCTCCTGGCTCCTTCTTCAGAAAAAAAGTAGCTTTTCTTAAAATGTAAGAATCAGAAAACTCTCAGAACAGGAAGTCAACTTTTAAACTCAGTTATGACAATAAATAGTGCAATCATGAATGAACATTCGTAACACAGCAATTGTGCAGTGTAAACATTAAACAGGTCCATTTTATTCAATAAATGATCTTATAAGTTACTTGTAAAACTATTTGCTCAATAACAACATCAAAAACAATTAATTATTGATGTAATTTCGACTTCCTTTTCCACAGTTTTCTGGTTCTTACTGTACTTGTGTTCAGATTTACAAGTTTCTCACAAATTATAATAGAAAAAATCTAATACTTCCTCTTCTTTTAAACAATTTGGGAACAAAATGGCGAAGTTCTCTTTTTTCTAGAGTTGCAAATCTGTGACATATAAACTACGTTTTGTTAAGGTATGTTTGTGATGGTCTACCTGTTTGTCAATGGGACATCTTATTTCTTTTTTGATGAGAGAATTATGAGTTTTCTCCCGCTAGGGATATATTTTTCAACCATATTCTGGATGTACTACACGTGGTTTCAAGTAAGATTGTCGGCCATCTTTAATTTTGATTATTTTTTGCCACCATTTTGAAAGATCCCTCCTCCTGCAATTTTGCTATTTACTATAGCATTTTTCACAAATATTTTTTCAAAACATGGATTTAAATAAATCTTGTCTTTTTTAAAATAAGTTTGCTTATCCCTTCTCTCGTAAAAATGATGATGTAAACCCTTGTACGTAGATAACTAAAATCCATCTAAAATGATACAATAAGAATCAGAAAACTGTGGAATAGGAAGACGACTTTAAGACTCGAGTTATGAATTTAGATAGTCCAATGAACAACTAAAATATACTAAGATATCGTCTTAGTATTCCAGAGTTTTCTGGTTCTCAATGTAGTTTACTAGATATATCAAAGGTGAATGTCTACAACAGGTAGGGGGATAGGGTTTGTGTACATTTTAGTGTGATGTATTAGAACCAGGGAGTAAGGAATAGAAGGGAGATATAACTGACGCGGTTCGCCCTACCATATGATTATACATGCTTTGCAGACGGGTACTCTATTTGTATAAGAACTGTTTGTCTGATGTACAATTACCACGTATACAATAATCTATTTTGAATATTTCTTGTACAAATGGAGTACTCGTCTGCAAAGCACGCATAATCATATGGTAGGGCGAACCGCGTCAGTTATATCTACCTTCTATTCCATACTCCCTGATCAGAACTGAACAGGAACTGGTTCAAGGTAAATGTACCGAGTTAGTCAACAAGCCAAGCCATCCTACCACGCATTTGTCTACAATCTTTGTTTTGATATTTCAAGATTGAAGGTTAATGTTTAGTTATTTACTTATTTATAGCAGTCCAAAAAAGACACAGTGAAATGTGTGCACAAACCCTTCGTCCCCCCTACATGGAGTGTATATACCTTTAAACTTTTTTTTGTACATTTTCAGTATGTACATCAGTTCGTATCCCCTATGCTAACAGTAGCGTACATGTTGGGAACTACGGGACTGTGGTACAACTTTTACAAGGTAAAATATACGAGTGAAATTTAATAAATTACTTCCCCCCCCCTCCTCCTCTCTAATCTATATGGAGTAGGGTTTCCTGCGAAAATTTCGCTTTATTTCGTATTCCGTATTGAATCTCTTGAATCCCTTGAATCTTCTTAATCCTTTGAATCCCTTGAATCCATTGAATCTATTGAATCCCTTAAATCCCTTGAATCCCTTAAATCCCTTGAATCCCTTACATCCCTTGAATCCCTTGAATACCTTGAATTCCTGGATTCCCTTGAATCCCTTGAATCACTTGAATCCCTTGAATACCTTGAATTCCTGGATTCCCTTGAATCCCTTGAATCACTTGAATCCCTTGAATTCCTTAAATCCCCTGACTCCCTTGAATATCTTTAATCCGTTGAATCTCTTTAATCTCTGTAAACACTTGAATCCTGTAAATCCCTTTTCCCTTAAATCCCTTAAATCCCTAAAATCCCTGAAATCCCTGAAATCCCTGAAATCCCTTAAATCCCTTAAATCCCTTAAATCCCTTAAATCCCTTTAATCCCTTAAATCACTTAAATCTTTTAAATCCCTAAAATCCCTTAAATCCCTTAAATCCCTTAAATCCCTTAAATCCCTTAAATCCCTTAAATCCATTAAATCCATTAAATCCCTTAAATCACTGTGGTATCCTGGTACCACAGAACGTGCAATAAATTGGTATCTTAAAATTCACACTTAATGAGATTTTGCTCAAGTACTCTAACTTGTTTCATCTATCATTTGTGTAACCTGATGACATTGCAGATCGGGTTAGTCCTATCTCGCGGGCCTAACTCCTCATGCGCCGTCTATATCTTTGCAACCTGGCATTACAATACTTCAGCTATCTCCATATATAGAGATAGCCTTATATGTCTGAATGCACTTGCAAATCTAAACACCCAAGTAATAAGTCATTCTTACAACATAATTACATTTATTGATACATTTAATTATACACTTATAAATGCATACATAAATCACATAATAATAATAATAGCTTAACATTAGCTTTAGATCCCTTGGTATTCTTAAGGTCTCTTAGCTCTATGTTTAAGTGCTACCTCGGTTAGGATACCAAGTCTAGCATGTAGGACAGATATGACATGTAATCCTTCTCCTAGTCTTATATCTGTATCATTGTAGGTTCCTTGGACAACTCGTTCCTGTATGATCTGGAGCAAGTTCCATACTTGGTTCTCAAGCCGGTCCTTCAACCCTTTCCTGGTCGGGTTGGGGAATAGCCTGAACTCCTGCTCGATAGCCTTCCCTGTGTCCCATATATCAACTCTAGGGACATCAGAATGCTGTGGCGAGCTGGTGTCCCTGCTAAGGGACAATACACTCCTGAGCCCGTCGTTCAACATTGACAGGCTCTGGACTGCATCTTGGAGTACCTGCTAAGTATCCTCTTCAGCATCCTCTGGGACATCTTCAGTCACATCCTCATCATCTGAAGTTGGGACATCATCAGGGACCACTGGTGGCTGACCAGGGTTAGTACTCCTCTTCATGGTAGTATTGAAGGTTTGGATCTTCTCAGATAGTTCACCAAGGAAGTCATACATATCCTTCATTGTCTGGGGTAGATCTTCATCATCATGCTCCTCATCTTTGTCCTCGACAACTTCCTCAACTACATCTTCATCCTCTGAGGCCGGAGCAGTGATGATCTGAGAGTTCCCGCTTGTGAAGGTAGCAGGGTCTACTGGAACAACTCCTCCATCTGGTTCCAGTTCCTCTAGGTAGGCAGGGTTCCACACGATGACGGGAACACGGTTCATCTTCTTCTAAATCGTCTGGAAAGGTTCTCTCTGTAAGCTGTCTGTGCACTGTATATAGCACAGGTCCCTGGACGGCTATGTGCAGGGAGACTTGTGTCTACTCTGCAGCGGTCCGGGATGTACTGATCTCTCTGGCGTCCTGTTGGATTCAAGGGACTGTTCACTCATATACCGAACTATCCAGAATACAACAATATCCCCCTGAGGCATGAATAGCTCGTAATGTTTCGGGCTATCATCATCACCGTTAGGGAGGCCAGGATCAGTTTAACTCTTCTAGCTCAATACCATGAGTGGGAGCAGCAGCAGCTCCCCTCTCAGTTTCATTTAGAGTTTGGATCAAGTTATTCCGGAACTCTGTAAGCAGGAAGACGTTAAGCCTTAGGGCAGTAGCCCATGAGGTTCCTTTTCTACGGGTTGCAACCACACTCACTAGCGTATAGATTAGTTTTCCTATTAGGTACAGGATTACTAAACAGCTGGCATAATGGCCCCAAGTATCGAAAGCGTCCCATATATAGGACTTCCAATCTAGTACTTTAAGGGTGCTTTGAGCTAAATTGCTTAGTTCAAAACCCAGGGTTTCCCGTGGGTTGATATTCACTGCAAGAGCCGGGTGAGGCACAATATTGAGCTGTCAATGCATATGTGACAGCTTTGCTGCTCCTTTTAGCATGGAAGAGTTCCATATAAGCCTGTATCTCCTTATGTGTATAAAGTAGGTTATCAGTCTCTTCAACATGTTCCAATTCATCTACATGGTACCCCAGTTGTTCAGGTTTGGACAACTGAAGCGATATAGTTTGGACCGTAGGAGCAGCTTGGACTAATTGTCCACTTGTGGTTTCAAAGATAGGTGGAAATACTTCATCACAGTCTAATAGGTCAAGGGTGGGTTTCCTTGTGACCAACTTTGACGTATCCAGATAGACTGGTTCCTCACCTAGGTATACTGGCAAATATTCCTTAGAACATTTATCATGTCTTTGATAATCGGGACTGGAGGTGACCTCGACAGTCTGGCATTGCATCTCCTGTATAATGTCTCCTCTGTCTCTAATCAATGCATTTGGATGAATAGGACTTCTCTCTAGCTGATAGAGTGAGTTTGTCCCCAGAGTACATAAATGTTTCTGTACTTCATGTATAGAGGACTGTATCATCCTCTCCATTTGAAAATGGAGGAATTCCTCACTTAACCTTAACTCTAGGTCCAGGTTTAAGCTATCAGCATGAGTTGACATTTCCAAGAGTTTGACACTATTTTCTAGTGAATCTTGGACTATCATCAGTTCAGGGTAATCAGTTGTGAAGTATGTTAAGTCACATTCTTCACTCCTTTGCTTATCTAATTTTCTGAGAATGATTTTATGTTCCTCATTAACCAGATAATTTTCAGATTTCCCTTTATGTGTTAGCTGAACCTGGCTGACAATCAAGCCTCTAATTTTAGCTAATTGACAGCGGTTCGGTTTTTCCAAAACCATATAAGTATCTATGCCCATCAAACATTTCATGCTTTCAATACAACGTTTTTCTAATTCTACATTGTTCTGAAGGTCTATGATCCTGTTCGGGGAGATTTCAACGTCAACTTCTGACATTGTTATTGTCACTGTCCTGAGTTCTAACATTCGTTCATGTTGTTCGCCATTAATAGTAATTTTGGCGCCCGTACAATAAACTTTTATTTTCAATTAAACTCTGATAATTACATTTTGATCAATGACTAGACGTTTTTATTTGTCTCTGATTTGATCTGCGGTGTCGCGGCCTAATAATAATTATTCAGCTGCGTCCCTCAAATGTTTATTCGAGACTGAGTTTGGCGGACTGCGTGCTTTAAATAAATAGTATTGGGTAAGATTCATTAATAAATTGATCTATTAACTAATTTTAGGATTATATTATGCAAGTTTGATTCAGCGGAATTTTTTTTTATATTCGCGGGTAAATAAAATTAAATAAAATAAAATAAAAATGTAAATTGATCATTTTGCGATTTTTAAATACTTCTATTTAAGGATGTACAATTGCTGTACATGCGGCACAGTCTACCTACTCTGACCGTACAGCTAACCAGTTGATCATTAGGTTAGTAGTTCAGTTCATTTTCTCGGTTAGTCGACAATAATTAAATTGACTCATGGAAGCGATGTTATTATTTTCGCTCACATCACAAGTAAATAAAATTCGTTAATTGACTAAGTTTTAATTGAAATCGTTTATTATATTATCAAAATATTCCTGTTTGTTAGGTCATCAGGCATATAATGTGAAATAAACATCAACAATTCTTTCAAAATTTCAACTAACTTAACCCTATCTCCGCTGGGGTACTTGAAAACCAGGATACGCTGGGGGGGGGTCAATTTGACCCCCCCCTCTAAATCCCATGTTTTATGTCCAAATATGACAAATGATACATCATTAGAAAGCTCTTGTGCTCTACTTTTAGAATCTGCAAAAAATGGGCTGGTATATGCTTTGAGGCAACCTAGCCGTCAGCTGACCACTGTTGTCCAAGACATTCAGGAACTTTTTTAAGATTGCAAACGTTTCTGACCTAGTTACAGAGTCAAGTTTGGCAACAATCATATCTGGATGCAGCTGCAAGATTTTCTCCTCTACCCAGCCTTTAAGGAATTCACCTTTTATCATGCTGGGATGTAGTTTCATGCAATCTAGCGCAGGGGTGAGAAATGCATCCCCCTCCACCGGATTCCCATAAGTTTTGAAGAAAAATAGAATCTCACAGGCAACGCTGATTACGTTCCCTCCGGTGATGACCGTTGTACCGTACCGTTGTTGGCATATCGCCACATTCTCACGACCTCAAACTCAGCTCCGGGGTCAGGAGATGCCAGTACTTTAGCAAAACCATATAAGTAATTCACCAACTTTTTTACATGGTTCAACATCACCTCAGCTGACAAATTGTCCTTGTTCCTAACAGCAAGCTTGTCAGCCCTATGCTGAGCATAATCTACAGTCTGGTATCCAGGATGGTTTGCAGTGGATTCACTAACCACGTCACCATTCTCCGTTCCCGTACAGGTGTTTGGGCTGAGCCCTGCTTCAGCTGTAATTGAACCCATTGGTTGTGCAACTACAGGCTGGACTCCCGTCTCTGCTGTAGCAGGGGCGGTACAGGACCTGGATTCCTAGCAGGTTCCCTTGCTCTGCCGGCTGCAAGCTGTTCTTTCCTCTCCCTCTTCCTCTGGTTCCTACTCCAGTTTT